CTACTGCATCTGAGTAAAAAACTACTACTGCATCTGAGTAAAAAACTACTACTACTGCATCTGAGTAAAAAACCACTACTACTGCATCTGAGTAAAAAACTACTACTACTGCATCTGAGTAAAAAACTAATACTACTGCATCTGAGTAAAAAACTACTACTACTGCATCTGAGTAAAAAAAACTACTACTACTGCATCTGAGTAAAAAACTACTACTGCATCTGAGTAAAAAACTACTACTACTGCATCTGAGTAAAAACTACTACTACTGATCTGAGTAAAACACTACTACTACTGCATCTGAGTAAAAAAACTACTACTACTGCATCTGAGTAAAAAACTACTACTACTCTGAGTAAGAACTACTATCTGCATCTGAGTAAAACTACTACTGCATCTGAGTAAAAAACTACTACTACTGCATCTGAGTAAAAAAACTACTACTACTGCATCTGAGTAAAAAACTACTACTACTGCATCTGAGTAAGACACTACTACTACTGCATCTGAGTAAAAAACTACTACTTCTGCATCTGAGTAAAAAACTACTACTACTGCATCTGAGTAAAAAACTAATACTACTGCATCTGAGTAAAAAACTACTACTACTGCATCTGAGTAAAAAACTACTACTACTGCATCTGAGTAAGACACTACTACTACTGCATCTGAGTAAAAAACTACTACTACTGCATCTGAGTAAAAAACTACTACTACTGCATCTGAGTAAGACACTACTACTACTGCATCTGAGTAAAAAACTACTACTTCTGCATCTGAGTAAAAAACTACTACTACTGCATCTGAGTAAGACACTACTATTGCATCTGAGTAAAAAACTACTACTACTGCATCTGAGTAAGACACTACTACTACTGCATCTGAGTAAGAGTGTACTCACTGCATCTGAGTAAGACACTACTACTACTGCATCTAAGTAAGAGACTACTGCTACTGCATCTAAGTAAGACGTTACTACTACTGCATCTGAATAAGAAACTACTACTACTGCATCTGAGTAAGACAGTACTACTACTGCATCTAAGTAAGACGTTACTACTACTGCATCTGAATAAGAAACTACTACTACTGCATCTGAGTAAGACAGTACTACTACTGCATCTAAGTAAGAAAGTACTACTGCATCTGAGTAAGACGTTACTACTACTGCATCTGAATAAGAAACTACTACTACTGCATCTGAGTAAGAGAGTACTACTACTGCATCTGAGTAAGAGAGTACTTCTACTGCATATGAATAACCTCTATTTGGCAGAGAATTACTGTTGTTGTTTTTTTTTTTATGCAAAACAACAACAAAAACTGTTTGCTTAACATTAACTTCATATAATTTTGAAAATGAAATGTTCCACAGTATGACTTATCTTTCTTCATGGAGGCAACTCCATGACATCATCAGGCAAAGTTACTTGTAAGATCTGTGGAGAGGCGACTCTGCTCAGAGTATGAATACATGTTATTTTCAAGGTATTTTTGAGCATTAAAAACCAGGGATGGGACAAGATCTTGAGAGACAAAATTGCCACAAGATCGTGCACACATGAGAAAAATGATCTTGTGAGATTTGTTTTCCAAGTGTTCACATTTGGATTTGACGAAAAAGAGTTTTTATTGGTGAGTTACATCTCTTACAGTTCCAGAAAGCAGTACTAGAATAGAAACACAAATACAAAATCAAATAAATAAAAAAATGTGAGGTCAGAATTGTAAACTGAATTGTGAAATGTATATATTTGAATTGATCTCAACAACAACAAAAGTTACATGGTTCAACTTTAACTTTATGTGTTATAATGATATATTTCAGAAACACTTTAGACTAATCCAGGTTAACACCAAGTGGCTTTAGTCATCTGTGGTTTAAGGGTATTTTTCACTTTCTTCATCTCATTATTTTGGTACACATCTGTCTGTGTCTGATTTGGCTTTTTTGAGTTTTGTATTTTTAATCACGAGGCAGACACACACAAAATGTATCTATGAAATCACTGTATGTTTTGTCTGTTGTAAATCAATTCGATTTATGTCATGTCACTCATAAAGTGTCTTTTGGCTGCGTTCACACTTGTCCTGGTTTTGGTCCTGATGTTGGTTTAGTTCTGTTCTAGACCTGGTTTAGTTCCCGGTTTAGTCCTGAGCAATTATGGTTTAGTCCTGGTTTAATCCTACTCTAGTCTAGTCCTTTTCTATTCCCGGTTTAGTTCTGGTATAGTCATGTTTTGGTGCTGTCCTGGTTTAGTCCTCGTTTAGTCCTGGTTTATTCCTGGTTTAATTCTTGTTTAGTCATGGTTTAATCCTGGTTTAGTCCTGGTTTAGTCCTGGTTTAATCCTGGTTTATTCCTGGTTTAATTCTTGTTTAGTCATGGTTTAATCCTGGTTTAGTCCTGGTTTAGTCCTGGTTTAATCCTGGTTTAGTCCTGGTTTAGTACTGGATTAGTTCTGGTTTAGTCCTGGTTTAGTCCTGGTTTAATCCTTGTTTAGTCCTGGTTTAATCCTGTTTTAGTCCTGGTTTAATCCTGGTTTATTCCTGGTTTAGTCCTGGTTTAATCCTATTCTAGTCTAGTCCTGTTCTTTTCCTGGTTTAGTTCTGGTATAGTCATGTTTTGGTGCTGTCCTAGTCCTCGTTTAGTCCTGGTTTATTCCTGGTTTAATTCTTGTTTAGTCATGGTTTAATCCTGGTTTAGTCCTGGTTTAGTCCTGGTTTAATCCTGGTTTAGTCCTGGTGTAGTATTGGATTAGTTCTGGTTTAGTCCTGGTTTAATCCTTGTTTAGTCCTGGATTAGTTCTGGTTTAGTTCTGCCTTAGTCCTGGTTTAGTACTGGATTAGTCCCAGTTTAATCCTGTTTTAGTCCTGGTTTAGTCTTGGTTTATTCCTGGATCAGTCCTGGTTTAGTCTTGGTTTATTCCTGGTTTAGTCCTGTTTTAGTCCTGGTTTAATCCTGGTTTATTCCTGGTTTATTCCTGGTTTAGTCCTTGTCTTCACGTGGTGTGTGTAAGTGTGAACACATCCTTGATCTGTTTGCAGGTGTGTCCTAAACAGTGAACATTGGTGGAAAAAGTTGTCCCAATATTTATTTTAATAATTAACTTTTTTGGCGGATTTTGGTGCAACAAACTGCAACAGATTTTTCCCATGAATGACCAGAACTCATGATTTCTGTGTTTTTAAATTGTCTGTGTTATGTTTTTATTTTATCCAGGGTTTGGCATGAACACAACCAAAAGACCAAATGTGGGGAGATTGTAATTTTAGCTCGTGACCTCTTCATTTTAACCAGACACCAGACTCATACTTGTGTGGTTCTAGTCGGAGTCAGTGCTAATTCTGATGTAGACTTTGATCCCATTCTAATCCTGGTGTAGTCCTAGTCAAGTCCTGATTTAATCCTGGTTTAATTCTGGTCTAGTCCTGGTTTAGTTTGTGCTTTAGTTCTGGTTTAGTTCCTGGTTTAGTCCTGGTTTAGTTCTGGTCTACTACTGGTCTAGTCCTGGTTTAGTTCCTGGTTTGGTCCCATCCTAGTCCAAGTTTAGTTCAGATTTAGTCCTGGGATGGTTTTTGGTTTAGTCCTGGTCTAGTCCTGGTTTAGTTTCTGGTCTTGTCCTGGTCTAGTTCTGGTTTAGTTCAGGTTTAGTCCTGGTTTAGTTCCTGGTTTGGTCTCATTCTAGTCAAGGTTTATTTCAGGTTTAGTCCCAGTTTAGTCCTTGTTTAGTTCCTGGTTTAATCCTGGTCTAGTCCTGGTTTAGTTTCTGGTCTAGTCCTGTTTAATTCCAGGTTTGGTCCCATCCTAGTCCAGGTTTAGTTCAGATTTAGTCCTGGTTTAGTTCCTGATTTGGTCCTATTGTAGTCCAGGTTTAGTTCAGGTTTAGTCCTGGTTTAGTTCCTGATATAGTTCTTAGTTTAGTCCTGGTCTAGTCCTGGTTCCGTTCCTGGTCTAGTCCTGGTTTAGTTCCTGGTTTAGTCCTGGTCTAGTCCCGGTTTAGTCCTGGTCTAGTCCTAGTTTAGTCCTGGTTTAGTTCTTGGTTTAGTCGTGGTCTAGTCCTGGTTTAGTTATGGTTTAGTTCCTGCTTTTAGTCCTGGTCTAGTCCTGGTCTAGTTCTGGTTTAGTTCCTGGTTTAGTCCTGGTCTAGTTTAGTTCTTGGTTTAGTCCTGGTTTAGTTCCTGGTCTAGTCCTGGTTTAGTCCCAGTTTAGTCCTGGTTTAGTCCTGGTTTAGTCCTGGTCTAGTCCTGGTTTAGTCTTGGTTTAGTTACTGGTTTAGTCCCAGTGTGAATGGTGTTTGTGTAAATGTGAACACAGTCTGTGTGTGTGATCTGGTGCAGTCTGACTTTTAACTGCACTGCCTAAAATGGAAAAGTAAAATACAGGAAATGAATCTTCTTCTTTTGATTCATTTGGATCTTTGTAGATATGTTTAGTCTAGATGAACTTTAAAAAACATATTTAGAGTCAGTGGAGTCAAATAAAACTTACTCCACTTGCAGGTAACTTAGAAATAAGAAAACAACAACTGAAAAAAGTAAATTCAAATCAAAAACAAGATGAATATTCCCAGTTAAAGCTCTGTTATGTAACTTTTCTGGTTGCCTGCTTGTCTCCTAGGAGATAGTATTGCTTTGCCTAAATAGAATGCCCCACACATGGTATTAAACTTGTATTGCATTCCTTCAATTACAGGTATTGTTGCTCAAAAATACTTGGGAAAAACATGTATTCTTACTGTGAATGGGCTCATTTCTCCACAGATCTGACCTGCACCTTGAACTGATAGTGTCAATTTGGTTGTACTTGTGTAGATGGGTAGGTTTAATGCTGCACTGTGGAACATTCTAATCCAGCCAAAGCCATAACGTCGCCATGAAAACAAGCAGGTGTTATACTTAAAGTTCTTGTTGGTGTAAAATCTCCAGTCCTGCCAAGCCCTGTTTAAACGTGTGTAGTTCTTGTGTATGTGCTGATGCTGATGGCGCCCTCTTGTGTCAGCCCGCAGCCTGCGCCTCAGCCCGTGGGAGAGCAAAATCGTGGAGAGACTCATGACGCCGACACTGTCCTTTCTGAAGAAGAGCCGGAGCGCCGCCACGCTGCTCAACAACACCAACGACTGTGAGTGACAAACGAGGGAAAAACTGTAGAATCTGTCCATCCTGTCGATCTGTCTATTTATCTATCTGTCTATCTATCTTTTTAATTTCTCGGTCTGTCTGTCTAATCTGTGTGCTGTTTTTGTGTGTGTACAGCGTGCAGTCCTCTGAGCTGCTCTCATCAGAACAGTGCAGAGAGATGGAGAATGTCCTCAGCCTCAACTCCAGACATCACCCAGAGACCACAGAGACAGAGATACTCCACCCCGGTAAACACTGACTCCTCACTCAGACTACACCGAAAAAGACGGTCCCCTCACTCAGACTACACCGAAAAAGACTGGTCCCCTCACTCAGACTACACTGAAAAAGACTGTCCCCTCACTCAGACTACACTGACAAAGACTGTCCCCTCACTCAGACTACACCGAAAAAGACGGTCCCCTCACTCAGACTACACCGAAAAAGACTGTCCCCTCACTCATACTACACTGACAAAGACTGTCCCCTCACTCAGACTACACCGAAAAAGACTGTCCCTCACTCAGACTACACCGAAAAAGACTGTCCCCTCACTCAGACTACACTGAAAAAGACTGTCCCCTCACTCAGACTACACCGAAAAAGACTGTCCCCTCACTCAGACTACACTGACAAAGACTGTCCCCTCACTCAGACTACACCGAAAAAGACGGTCCCCTCACTCAGACTACACCGAAAAAGACGGTCCCCTCACTCAGACTACACCGAAAAAGACTGTCCCCTCACTCAGACTACACTGACAAAGACTGTCCCCTCACTCAGACTACACCGAAAAAGACTGTCCCCTCACTCAGACTACACCGAAAAACACTGTCCCCTCATGCAGACTACAGCGAGACAAGTCCACTCCGATAAAAACTGTCCCCTCACTCACACTACACTGATAAAGACTGTTCCCTCACTCAGACTACACTGACAAAGACTGTTCCCTCACTCAGACTACACTGAGACAAGTCCACACCGATAAAGACTGTCCCCTCACTCAGACTACACTGATAAAGACTGTCCCCTCACTCAGACTACACTGATAAAAACTGTCCCCTCACTCATACTACATCAATAAAAACTGTCCCCTCACTCATACTACACTGAGACAAGTCCACACCGATAAAGACTGTCCCCTCACTCAGACTACACTGATAAAGACTGTCCCCTCACTCAGACTACACTGAGACAAGTCCACCTTGGTAAACACTTTCCCCTCACTCAGACAACACAGTACACAGAGACAAGTCCAGTCAGGTAAAGACTCTGGTAAATGTTCAGTGTGTTTAAACAGTGCCTCTAGTTCAGGTCGATGATTGGAAATCAGTAAAAAATTGAATGACATATATACTGTATGTAGCACCAGGAAAGTACATGCATGTGTGTGTATCCACTCTGTTCACCTGAAGCCTGTTGCATGTGAACAAGAACTGACCAAACTGAAGACCAAATCTAGTGCCTCTGGAGCTGCTTCACAGAGCGCAGTAACATGTGAGATCTCCCTGAGTGGTTTTAAAGTATGACATCATATGACATGAAACATACCAAAGAACAGCCGGTAACATACTGACTGTGTCTCACTCATCGTCCATTATTATACACACCTAACACTAACATTACTCACACATTTTTGCCTCTTACATTTCACAAAGTTAAATATATCCTGGGTTCTGTTTTGGTGTGCTCCAGGCTCAGTCGGGGAACTCCCTCTGCTAACTTTAACCCAAAGAAACAGATTATTTTACTTTAAGTGTCGGTTTAAGTATTAAAAATAGTTTTGACAGATCTGTTACACGCCTCCAGTTAAAATAGTTCTGTTTTATGTTTCAGGTGGAAAAGAAGAAAAAAGAAAAGAAGGATAAAGAGCGAGAGAACGAGAAAGAGAAGAATGCTCTGTCTAAAGAAAGAACACAGAAGAAGAGACAGACGCCATCACCCACGGCAACAATCAATCAGAGGAGTCGACCAGACGGCAGGTACAGAGCAGGGATCGTGGGAAATGTAGTTGAGTCTAACAAAAAGTATATTATAGCATTTTTGAATCGAAACCTTTGATTTCATAGACCTCATAGACCACTCCTGGACACTGAACTTAACTATGTTTAAAACAGACTAATATTAAAAGTATAGATAATAATATTGTCAACATCCATTCATCCATTTTCTTCCGCTTATCTGGGGTCGGGTCGTGGGGGCAGCAGTCTGAGAAGGGTCTCCCAGACTTCCCTCTCCACACACACTTCCTCCAGCTCTTCCGGGGGATCCCGAGGCGTGCCCAGGCCAGCTGAGAGACATAGTCCCTCCAGCGTGTCCTGGGTCTTTCCCAAGGCCTCCTCCCGGTGGGACGTGCCCGGAACACCTCCCACAGATGCCCAAGCCACCTCAACCGGCTCCTCTCAACGTGGAGGAGCAGCGGCTCTACTCTGAGCTCCTCCCATGTGACTGAGCTCCTCACCCTATCTCTAAGGGAGCGCCCAACCACCCTGCGAAAGAAACTCATTTCGAGCGCTTGATTCCGCGATATCGTCCTTTCAGTCATTACCCAGAGCTCATGACCAGAGGTGAGGGGAGGAACGTAGATTGACTGGTAAATCAAGAGCTTCTCCTTTTGGCTGAGCTCCTCTTCACCACAATGGCCCAATACCGCGACCGCATCACTGCAGAAGCTGCACTGATCCTCCTGTCCATCTCACGCTCCATCCATTGTCAACATTAACTCTACATAACTGACCTGAGAAAAAGCGAAGTATAGATGTAATGTTATTGCTTTGATTGGAACGATCCACACAGTATGGCATTAAACATATCTATCTTAAGGTAAGGTTAGGTACACTTTATTGTCCCCTTAGGGAAATTTGTCCTCTGCATTTGACCCATCCTTCAGTGTCTGTGGGGCATCTTCTCTGGAGCAGAGAGCACCACACTGCAGATCTTGAGTTAGTCTTTGTCAGGTCTGCTTTAGCTGGAGGATTATGCATTATAACATTATAACATGCACTGTATTTCAATTTTTATTCTTACTATTTTCTTTCTTTTTAATACTATGAACCAGATATTATGTGTTCATAATAAAGATTGAATTGAATTTTGGGTTGATGGGGGGAACCAGAGAGAGAAAACCCACCCAGACACAGGAAAAATATGTAAGTGCCACACAGAAATACCCTTGAGTCAAACCCACAACCTTCTTGCTATGAGGCGTGAGTGCAGCCTGTTTTTATCTTGCTTTTATTCTGGTACAAGTGGACCTTTCACCAGAACAGGTCCATAGGGCACCTCTTTCCCAAAACAGTATCAGGCCAAAATCAACAAAGTGCACGCTCCTTTTAGAGCAGTCTTAAGTGGAGGCCCAGAATAAAACACTTCATGGGGCTCATGTAAAATTCACTCTTAATGCCATACTGTGAAACATTCCAGACAAAGCAATAACACTAAAAAAGGAGTTGGCAGACACTTTACCAGAAAAGTTTAAAAAGTGCATCTTCAGCTCATCTTTTTATTTTCGTAAAGGTTTAGCCGACTAAAAACATATTCTGGGGCTCTGTCATTGACACTTGACTCATTCAGATCTTACGGTCTCATCTCTCTTGTGTCTTTTTTCATTTTATTTTTATTTTATTTTAAACTTTGCATATTTAAGTGTAATTTCCTCTTCTCTCTTCCAGCGCCTCTAAACCTAAAAAACGCCCTCCGTCTCCTGCTCCTCCTAAGTCCCGCCCCCTCTCGCCTCTCGTCCAATCATCTTCCTCCTCTAAGACCGGCCCGGGTAAGAAGACCCCGCCCTCCTCTGGGACCAAAACCAGACCCAAACGATCCCAGACCCCAGCCCGAGTCCAGACCACGGTCTCTGCGGTCGCCGTGGAGACAGAGGTGGAGGCGAAACCACGGCAACAGAGTCCCGTCACCGAGGAGACGAAGGGTGAGTGTTACCATGGGAACTGCATCAGGTTATGACCAAGAAATGATTCTATATTCTGCTTTTTTATTATGTTATAATGTAATAGGCGGGTAGACAACAACACTTTGAAAAAATTGTAAATGTTGTTATGCAAAATTAGAATATAGAGTCAAATGTTTATAATAAAAGATGCTGAAAAAGAAATGAATAAAACTAAAATATAAACTTCCAAACAACAGCACACAGTGTAACGTTACCCACAAAAGTACAGAATTACTTTTGTCATATTAGTTTGATACATTTCTAGACCTCTTCAAACCTATCTCCATGGAGAATGTTTTTAACTTCTTATTTCCATGGAATCATGGAGGTGACATGCCACCTTCAGAAAGTTACATATTGTCTTTAAAATGCACTGTAAACTCTAATAAGTAAATGTTACTTGAAAAAAATCTAGAAAACTGATTGCCTTGAAAAATCTGACTAAAATGGAGTTGAGCTTAAAAGTAATTCCTCGGTGTAGTGTACAGAAAGTTTCTCTTTTATCTAACCAGGCACAGCAAGTGAAGTGAACTTTAGTTTTCATTCATAGAACTCATGTTGTGAAACTGTGCCAACAAATCAATCAGTTCCTCAAATCTGAAATATGTAGTAACCTTTACTTTAAGAGTAAGTTCATCTTACTTGGTAAAACCATGGAAACCGATTGCCTTGAAATGAGCAAGTAAATGTTACTTCTGTGCACAAGTTAGTGTACAAACAGGTTCTATTCTACAATAATGACATTTAGATCTGCATCAAGTACAAGGATTTGAATATTTATTAGTCTCTGAAAAAAATGTAGCAAAACTTTTGTTCAGTTTAAGTTCAAAACACATCGTAACATGTTTAACAATAAAATAATAAAGCTTGGTCATTCCATGTCAGCTCAACCAAGGCCTTCGCACTGACGTGTCAAAAATGCTGGAAGAAAAACAAGAGTACCTGTGTTACCCAGGAGATACTCTGTAAATTGTTGCTGTGATGCTCCTCACTGACGTTCACGCTGTGTGCAAGAGGGAGTGTGCATTTGAGTGTAGGTGTGTGTGCGTGTGTGTAGCTATCATACTATGTGAAAATGTATACTTTACAGACAGTAACTACAGACAGAAAGGGGTGTCATTTTGTTAGGCCTCGATTTTTTGGCAAAATTACCAGTTTATGAAAATTATACACCTCCAGCTCAGTTAGGTCTTCAATCTCCACGTGTATCCAGTTTGAATGTTTACAGTTCTTCTATTTTCTTGATATGCTCATCGTCCCTGAAGAAATGCACTTGACGGCGCCCCCTATTGGCAATAATACATGACTGTTGAAGTTACTCGCCTCATTCAAGTTGACCTTAGACAAGTAATGTGCTTTATTCGCCCTGAAAGTAACTGTTACTTTACCACAATCATTACCACAAATTTGTAGCTGTGAGTAAAGTAAACGAGCTGAATACAAGTTAATACATTTTAATATTTGAAAAAATTCTTGTCTTTCTGTGTTTCAGATGCTGCTAAAGTTCCTGCTATCGTTGTATCATCTGCCCCAGTGACCCCTCCCTCCTCTAGTCCCCAATCACCTCCAATTCTACCCCCACTACCCCCTCAACTACCCCTGCTACTACCCCTTCAACTACTCCAGCCACTACTCCAGCTACTACTCCAGCAACTGCCCCCTCCACTGCCCCGTCCACCCCGTCTGTCTCTGCCCAGGATGCCCCCTCTCCTCCCAGTGAAGTACCCAGGTCTACCCCCCCTCCTGCCCTCCCCAGTACCCCCCAGGCCGCCGCCCCATCCGCCCCGTCTACTCCTGCCCCCTCTACCCCTGCTCCTGCTCCCTCTACCCCAGCTCCTGCCCCTGTGACGGGCACGGGCAGGCCAAGCGCGGGCACTAACGACCCAGAGGAGGCTGCCCGGGCCCTGGCGGAGAAGAGGAGGCAGGCGCGAGAGCAGAGGGAGAGAGAGGAGCAGGAGAGACTGGAGCAGGAGCACAGGAACAGGTCAGAGGAAAACACCATAGCACGTTATTAATAGTCAGTGTTGGGAGTAACGTGTTATAAAAGTAACAAATTACTGTAATGCATTGCTTTTTGCTGAAACGCAGTAATGTTCGGCATTACAGGGAAAAAAATTTAATGTTTTACTACAATGCTTTTTTAACCTGGATTGAAATGGTGGGTTTTTCGGTTTTCTTCATAATAATTTGCTAAAATCACCATGAAATCAGCAGCGGTTGAAACGCCGGAGATGCGCCTGCGTGGACCATCTGGTAACCACGGGCGAAATGACGGGCGCAGAACTCCGTGCTCCACGGGGCGAATCGCAACTGACGCCCAATCGCGCCTTGTAGACACCCTGTTCCATGGACTCAGGGTTCTCTCAGGGGCAGTCCTAGATTCCAAGTTCTAGTCCAAGATTAGTCCTGGTTTGGTTCTGGTTTAGTCTGGTTCAGCTCTGGTTTAGTCCTAGTTTAGTCCAGGTTTAGTCCTCGGTTCAGTCCTGGTTTAAACCTAGGTCAGTCCTGGTTTAGTCCTGGTTTAGTCCTGGTTCAGCCCGGGTTCAGCTCTGGTTTAGTTTTGGTTTAGTCCTGGTTCAGTTCATATACAGAGCAAAATTTCAGCATCTTCAATTATTTTGGTGAGAGTAACTTAAAGTAATGCAATAGTAATGTAATGCCTTACATTTTAAATGCAGTAATATTGTAATGTAATGAATTACTTTGAAATGACAGTAACAAGTAATAAATAACACATTACAGTTTTAAAGTCACTTACCCAACAGTGTTAATAGGCCTGTGTAAGATATCATATATAATCATTTGCACACATTCAAATGTTTTCAGCTCAGAGTAGTGATCATAGAGTCATGTTTTGGTTAACTTTTTGTGAATAAACTTGTTTTTTGTTGTAGGATTTTGCGAGAGGAGGCTGCAGCTCGGGAGGCAGAGGAGAGAAAAAGAAGAGAGGAAGAGGCGCGATTCATGGCTGAACAGCAGAGACTGAGAGATGAGGCGGAGGAGAGAGAGAGGGAGGAGAGAGAGAAGAAAGAGAAGGAGGAGAACGAACGGATGCAAAAACAGGTAAGACTCACTAACTACAGAGAAAGGAGAAGGAGGAGAGCAAGAGAAGGAAGGGGGAGACAGAGGGAGAACAGAGAAAGAGGAGAGACAGGGGGAAGAGCAGACAGATGTAAAAAGAGATTAAAAGGAGGGAGGGAGAAGAAAGTAACCTGGAATTAACATCTGGAGCCACAGTGACGTAGGCACATTTAAAAGAGTCACTTTACTCCAGAGGCATGAGAGCTGCTGCTACTGCTGCACTAAACTTTGTATGTTCTCTATTTAAACCCCAAACTGTTTTATACTGCTAATGCATATTCAGTGTTGGTCAGATTAATTTAGGGGTGGGACTTGATTTAAAAAATAATCTAAGTAATTACAGGCTTTGTAATGAATTAATCTCAGTTAATCGCATAACAATACTTGCCCCAAAAGCAACATTTATTTTATGTAAATGAATTTTAGTGGACGACTTCATCAAATATTACACAAAGACACTTTTAAACTCAAGCTCTTTTAATGTCTGGAAAAATGTCTTGAAAAAACTAAATAAAAATACATTTAATTTCATTTCAAAATAGTAGACAAAGGTCCCAGTCCAAAACTGAAGAGACTAAAGTTAAAGTGCTATTTATTGTAAGTTGTGCCCTTCTGAAAGTACGTACGATGTTGACTTACTCATTTTCTTCCTGAAGCCCGTCATTTGTTGGAGTTTGTGCTGCTGACACCTCCTACTCAGACCAGAACTGCTCCCACCAGCAGCTCCAGCAGTTTCTGTTCTCGCTGTCACATGTTTTGCATTTAAATAGTGTCGTAGAGTTGAGGTGCTTCTGTGTTATGAAACTCTTTTCTGCACAGTTTGCAATTAGCAACGTCTTTGTCAATACTTCCATCAGGTTGTTTTTTAATAGTAAAATGCAATGTCATAGTAAAAGTAAAAGTAAAACGTACCATCCAGCAGACTCAGAGGCTTTCATGCTCCGCTGTTGTAGATGGATCTGTGTGTGTCAGTATAATAGTCGTACCACGACATGGTGCACTGATAAACATTCTGCGTTGTTTGGCAAACTGCGATAAATTATGAAGAAAATAATGCATTAAAAGTATTAACACATTATTTTCTTTCTAATTAATTAATTAATTATAATTAGTGCATTAATGTCCCACCTCTAGATGAATTACTACATGAACTAGACAAAAGTTGACAGTTACAGGCTGATACTTTGCATAGCAATAACAAACTATGTTCGTATTAATTATAATAATAATGTATTACTCTCACTAGTCACTGTAGCGCTTTTTCCACTGGCTTTACAATTTGGTGCCTTTTTCATTCCCTCCACACCATGGGTCAAGTGTCTTGCCTAAGGATACAAGAACAGTTTTTGCATTGGCATCTGGTATTCTAGAGGTCTCCCATCCAAGTCCTAACCAGGGCCGGCCCTGCTAAACTTCTGACCTGACAGGGTTTGACCAGGAGGTTTGGTCTTTAGGGTCCTGACCTGCAGTTGTCCTAAATGTATGTCTGACATTAGAGAATGTACAGAATGTATAGAATGGCTTCTTTTTCTATAGTCCACCATCAGTCATTGCCATTGGGATGATCATCAGAATCAGCCAGCGTCTCTTATTTTTTAAGTCGGCTTAGGTCACATGGAGTGAACACCAATGTAATGCTGTTGTTTTACAAAGCATGCATGGAATCTATTTTACGCCATGGCCTGTCAACATGGTTTGGTAACCTGTCAGTCAAACTTAAATCACAGATTTTTACCTTGACTAAAAGAGTGGGTAAAATAATAGGAGTGGCCCCAAGCTCACTTCAGCACATTTTTGAGGAGATTGTTAGGAAGCTCGGCAGGAAGGTGATCAATGATCCAACCCATGTTCTTCACAGTCAGTTTGAGTTGATGCCAGTTAAAAAATAATTATAGAAGGCTTAGGGAATGTGCAATTAAAACTGCACTGAGGCTCAAGGGGAATGTGCAATAACTAAAACTGCACATAGGCTTAGGGAATGTGCAATAATTAATAGAATACAAGAATACAAGGGCTTGCCTGTTAAGAATAATTTAAAGGTTCTGTTGGTGCATCATTCGTGGTCATACTTGGTCTCATATTTATTCTGTTCTACGGTGTTTGTTTATGTTCTGCTTTGTGTTGTGTTGTCCTGTTTTTTGATAAAGCATGTTACCCCCTGTCCCAAGACAAATTTCTCCCATGGGAGACAATAAAGGATTATCTTATCTTATCTTATCATAAACTAAAATGATAAAGTATTATTCTTTCCAACTTTTCCACAGCTGATGAGTATTCAGTTGCACTTGGGAACACATAATCAATATTTCATACTAGACTGAGTTATCACAGTTATGCTTTTCTGATCACTGAAATCAATAAAGATTAAAATAGAGGTTAAATGACCTGGTTGTGGCTCCCATTAAGCAGAGTGGTCTGTCCCATAGAGGAGTTAGTACTCTGTGTTTACATGCAAAGGATTGTGGGCATCCTGTCCCCCATAATCAGTGTTGACTCTGTGTTTAATGTGAGTTCAGACACTTTAGAGCTCCAATAAAACCACAGGAGCCTTTTATATTTAAGCCTTTTACCATCTGTGGGATTAACACAGAGCGAGGGGACCGGAGGGAAGGGAGAGGGGGGTGTCAGAGAGGAGAGAGGGGGACCGTGGGAGGAGGAGGAGGAGGAGAGAGGAGGCAGCAGCAGCAGAGAAAAGAAAGAGAAGGAGGATGGAGAAAGAAAGAGAGAGGTGGATCAGAGGGGGGGGGGGGGAACTCGGGGGGGCAGAGGAGTGTGAAATGCAGAAGAGGGGAGAGAACGAGAGATGGGGGGACCGTGGGGGAAGAGACTGGGTGTGTTATTGGGAGGGGGGGGTTTAAACGCATATTTAACCCTCACAGTGAGCATCTGGGGGTATTAGAGGATGTCACGAACACTGGATTTTTTGAATGAATACAGAGAAAGAAAGATCATTTGGAAAGAAAGAAATACAATCATAATTTTGTCATTTTGTCGTCTGGTCTTTAAGCAAGACACTTCACCCACATTGCTTAGTATGAATGTGGTGTGTGTGTGTTTGTGTTGATCGGAGGTGCACAGATTGATTGACAGATTAATTATGGCTTCAGTCGTGGCGTGTCCTGCGTGAAAAACTAAATATCCCGTAACCCTGCAGTTTGGACGTCTACAAACGTGTTCTGAAATACACAGGGATTCTTTTGTTAGTGTAAAATGAGCCGTGATCCTGAGCTCTGGATTTCAAAAGGAAAGTACTCGATGTGATATTGTAATTAGCACGTCTGACTCACGCCATGAAGGTCCCGTGAAAAAACTCGCAGTCTTACTCGTGGTATCGTAAAATTGTCGAGTGCGTCGAAAGTGAAGTAGTGTGATTTTTAAACTTGTCTTCTGGAGCACATTCCCAGAGCAGCAGACTCTGACTCACACTGTTATGCCCCTGTGTTTGTCTCCATGGGGCTGGACCATAGATACCCCTCTGTCTCTCTCTCCCTCCCTCCCTCCTCTGTCTCTCTCTCCCTCCCTCCCTCCTCTGTCTCTCTCTCCCTCCCTCCCTCCCTCTCTCCTCTGTCTCTCCCTCCATTCCTCTCTCCTCTGTCTCTCTCTCCCTCCCTCCATTCCTCTCTCCTCTGTCTCTCCCTCCCTCCCTCCCTCTCTCCTCTGTCTCTCTCTCTCCCTCCTCCTCTCTCCTCTGTCTCTCCCTCCCTCCCTCTCTCCTCTGTCTCTCCCTCTCTCCTCTGTCCCTCCCTCCCGCTCTCCTCTGTCTCTCCCTCCCTCTCTCCTCTGTCTTTCTCTCTCTCCCTCTCCCTCCCTCTCTCGTCTCTGTCTCCCTCCCTTCCTCTGCCTCTCTCTCTCTCTCTCTCTCTTTCTGTCTCTATCTCTTTCACTTCTCTCTGTTTCTGTCTCTTTCTCTCTCTACCTATGCCACTTCTCTGTCTCTCTCTCTCCTTCTTTTTCTCTCTCTACCTCTTTCACTTCTCTCTCTCTCTGTCTCTCTCTTATTCTGTCTCTCTCTACCTCTTTCACTTCTCTCTTTTTCTCTCTCTCTCAGAGATTGTCCCATTGTGATCACTCTAGACACTGTCCTCTGTCTGAGGCTTTTTGCAAGTGTTGCTTTAGTGTAACCTCACTGCTGCTCTCTACACTTCATTTATGAAAGAATATATATATATATATATATATATATATATATATATATATATATATATATATATATATATATGTATTTTTTTTTATTTATTTGAGGGGTTTTGTATAGAAACATGAGCTGTTCTTGTTGTGAGCAGCTGTCCTCTCTGCTCTCCCTGTCAGTGTTGACTTTAGTCCTGGTGAATGTGAACACTCACAGAGCGTGAAATGGACTTATTCTTATTCTGTAATAACCCTCCAGTCTGAAGGCCACACCAAACTGAGCCTGGACTGCCCCCTGCTGGACGCTTTTATACACACTCACTTACAGTGGATTTAGGCTGAGTTTACGCTCGCTCACAGATATACATTATGTTGGGATTCTGTGCTTATGGGAGATGTGACATTGATGCATGAGTTTATATTTTATTTTCCAGAGGGAGGAGGCAGAGGCCAAAGCTCGCGAGGAGGCCGAGCGACAGAGAGTGGAGAGAGAGAAACACTTCCAGAAAGAAGAGCAGGAACGACTCGAGCGCAAGAAGGTCAGAAATATAAAACTAATAAACATACTGTTGATATATGCATTAGAAATTGTACACAAAAAAGAAGGATAGAAAATGCCCAAAATGAATTCAGAATTGTCATCCTTAAAGTTATACTATGTAACTTTTCTAATACACAAAATGGCATAAAACCTAGTCATGTCCATCTCCTATTACATATACACACATATACATACATACATACATACATACATACACATATACATACATACATACACACATATACACATATACATACATACATACTGAGAGATCTTTTAACATATATTAACATACCTACATTTCATGTCCATATACATATGCATATGTCTGTACACACACACACACACCCACACACTTGCACACAGACACACACACACACACATATATCTATATCTATCAACAACAACAACACACTACACAAAAGTTATGGCTACATATCTATCAAAAGATTTCTGAATTTCTATAAATTTAGATACTTTTTACCATTACATTTTGTCAGTTATGCTGATATTTTTTGATTAATTAACATTGTATAGCCTACCTGTCTGTTTTTTTTTGTTTTGTTTTGTTTTATTTTTTCAAAAGTTGTCCTACTTAGTTGTAAGCTTAAAGTTTCTAAATACATTGTGTGTTTGACTGTGCAGCGTCTGGAGGAGATCATGAAAAGGACGAGAAAGAGCGACGCTGGGGACAAGGTACGTTTACGTTTAAAATGTTTCAAATCACAAAAAATATGTTCACACTTTGATCACATATTTTTTTCTATCCGCAGAAAGAAGTGAAGGCCTCTCCACAAGTGAACGGCAAAGACTCCGAGCTCACGAAAGGTAAACTGTGATCAAAAGTTTTACACTGGTTCCGTCTTTAGTCAAAATATACATAGGCCAGCCTGATGGGAATCTAACCCAGGACCCTTGCTGTGTTAGATTCCCCTTGTTGTGAGGATAAAGTCTTACCTAATGTGCCATCGTGTTACAAGTAGCAGGGCATTCATATATTATATAGAAGTGTCTAGCCCAAGGACACAACAACAGTATGAATAAGTCCGACTTTTATGTAATTATATTTCAGTTTTTGTTGTATTCTTTTAGGCTGACAGGTGAATTGTGTAACTTTTCTGATGGAGAGTCCGTCAAATACTTTTCTGTATGAAGATATTATTGTCAGAAATGTTTCACAGTATGGCATTAATCAGTTTTATCCTCATGGAGACCAAACCAGACCGAGTTACAGGTCAGATCTATGGAGATGCGACTCCGCTCACAGTCAGAATGTTGTTTTTCTAGGTATTTTTGAGCTCTAAAACCACCTGTAATTGAATAAATGTAAAGTAGAGCGATTTCATGTCATACTGTGGAACATTCTAAGCAGAACAAACACGTGACTGACCTTGTATCTCCCCTCCTCAGCCTCAGTGCCGGTGGTGAGCGCTGGAGCGGCTCAGGGTCCAGTGTTAAACGGGGTCCAGTCTCATCAGAACGGACTCAACCAGAACAACCAGTTTGACGATCTGCTGAGCCTGAACCAGAGCAGCGGCGGCGGCAGCGGCGGCAGTGGAGGAGGAGGACTGCTCAAACCACAGCCTGTCACCGGTACGAGCTAACCGTATACTGAAATATTTCTGGACACAGCTAACTCCCCAGCTGTCACATTCAAACAGGAAGTGACCATGGGCACGATTTGGCTCCATTGACTCTGGCTCTAGTTCACTTTCTCTTCAAAAACCGTCACCCTTCTCCCTGTAACTGCAGCTGTCAGACTCTCGTTTTAACCCGCACTACATGATCCTGGTGTTTCTATTCAGCTATTATGTCCATAAATTAAGATTTTAAGAGAGTTTTCAATAGGTTTGATTGGCAGCATTGTTAAGTGCCCACCCCCTACCCCCTTCGAGCGCCTTCAACAACCTCGTCTTTCATTGCGCACTTGGATTTCTGAACATGAGATTTGGTAATACTACTAGCCTTGATTGGGCCAACAAATATTGGACTAAGGAACACATTTGGCTCCTGGACCATATTTTAGACCCCCTGAAAATTAGAGGCAAAATTTACAGTTAGGTATTACGTATTTGCTGTGTATACGATATATACAGAGTGACCAGACATTCCTATTGACATGGGACAGTCCCAGTTTTGAGCCTGTGTCCCCTGTCCCTGCAGATTTATACAAAACCACTGATTTGTCTCAGTTTTTTACAAGAAATGTCCCAATTGTCCCTATTTTTGACCAATCTGATCCCTGCCAACTCTAAAGAGAGGCATAAATTGTCATCTGTTTTGGTAAAATACAGAAAAGCTGCTTAAAAATGACCAAAAACAAAGATCTGACTATAATGACTGACATGTTAGTCATGAATGGACCAAGTGCAGAACAGTTTTCCTTCATTACTAGAGATGTAATGATATCCAAATCTCACGGTGCGATATTTTCAAGATATATATCTCATGGTACGGTATTTATTTTTTATTTATTTTGTTGAGGCGAACAAAATTGTGAATATGCTACTTTTTCCTCTTAAAATGCCTTGACAAGACTTAATAAAAAAAAACACAAAGATTTAAAAGTGCTTAGAGCTGCTATTTCATCATGTAGTTTGCGCCAAAATGGAGCAAAGGATTATGGTCTATGTAGTTCCCTCTGTTTTTTTTAGCTATTGCTGCACCATAACAATGAATTTAAACAAAGAAACTTGTGATTCGATATATTATCATGGCCCATGATATTATTGAGAGACTTTTGACGACACAATATCACAGTATTTTGGTTTTTGTTACACCCCTATTCATCACACAATACAATACAATTTTACAATTTTATTATTACCAACCACCACAAATCGGGGGTGTCCCAGATTTAGATTTTAAAAATCTGGTCACCCTAAATCAGAATCCTGCTCAGGTCCATTTTTGGAGACGCGCACCCACATAGTCCAGCACCACACCCGCCCGTTAACCCGTGATTATATCAAAGTTAAATCCACACCCGCTCAGACCTGTTAACACTCCACCCGTTACCCACCCGTGTCCCAACACACACAAATTAAAAGCATTGTAACACCATCGCTCGTCAACTTAACTTATATCTTATAGCCGATGTTCCTCAAACCATGAATGCTGCTGGGGGAAATTGCCGCGGTCACTGTTAAGTGACGTAGGCTACAGTTTAAATATTGTAGCCCCCGGTAGGCGAATGAACACACTCTGATTACAACAACTTGTACATGATCAGGACAGACATGGTCTTAAAAGTCTTAAAAAGGTCTTAAATTTCATGTTCCGAAATTAAGGCCTTAAAAAGTCTTAAATTATGTTGTCTTAAGTCTTAATTTTTCACAAAGGTCTTAAATTTCATTAACGTATATTTTGTATACTCAACTGGGCTGTAGTGCGACGTTAAACAGAGAGAGGGAAAAAAAAACAACAACGTGAAGCTGAAATGACCTAATGAAAGTACAAAAATGCATCTGTATTTGTCACGATGTACGTTTGGTAAATGTGCAGATGCTAAATCCCACTGCAAAACCAGTAAGAGAATGTATATATATTAAAAAAAAAACAGGTTTAAAAATCCTACCCATTTTCTTCACTTTCACAGTTTTGTGTTAAGTGAAAGTGGAAGTTCTCTTAAAGAAGAGATTCTCAAACTGTGGGTGAGGGTTCAAAAGAAAGGCACAGAGTTTGCACAGTTTGTTTGGCTTTGTAATCAGTACATTATTTTGACTTGGTCGTTTTATAAGTAGCTCAGATGCTGAAAAAGTGTGGGCAAACCTGTTCTAGACTGAGTAGTTGGTTGGTCATTATTAAAACTGGATCATTTGTTTTTTGCCCACATAACGGGCAAGATCTTGGTCTTGATTTTCATTTTTAAGTGGTCTTAAAAAAGTCAAAAAAAAAAAGTCTTAAATTTGGGGTAGTCAAACCTGGGGACACCTTGATGATAGTCTACTATGATTTATTCACCTGACCTGCCCATGTGTAATCACTACCTGCCCGCATACCTGCCTGTAAAATTCCAGAACATTAAAACCCGCCCATTACAGCAACCCAACCCGGTGCAGGACTCTGCCCTCAATATACAGCAGTAAGAGTAGTAGCTGTTAGACAAATTTCAGTAATAATAATAGTAATATTAATAGTAATAATAATAATAGTAGTAGTTTTAGTAGAAATAATAGTATTAGTAGTAGTTTTAGTAGTACAGATAGTGGTATTAGTAGAGGCAATGGCCACCTCTGTAATAGAAGAATGAAATGATTCTGAGTTTAATTGAAATTCACATCCATAAAAGCTCATCGATGTTATGGTTGTAGTGGTATTCACGTTCCATCAAATTATTCATGTAAAGTGTAAGTAATTTAATCCAATGAACTCTAGGTAGGCCTGATATATATATCAAAAGAAACAGAAAACACACACCGAAATTCTTGCAAGGAGCAGCCAGACAAGAGTGAAAAAATGCATAGCACACTCAGATGGCCGATGTCCAAAAGCTTTTTTATTTTCAGAATAACGTTTCGGCAAAAATCATCAGATATTTTTCTTGCTTTGGACCACAGTACACAAAATGTTGCCAGCCCAGGTGCTCATAAACCCCTCCAATGAACGGGAGGTCCCAAAGTGAGGTCACCCAGTGAGTTCAGCCCACTCTACAACAACAAACAACAGTTTAGATATTGACATAAAAACATTCTATAAAATACAAAAATAGTTTAAGTCTATCACAAAAAAACATCTTAGATCAAACTCCACATTCAGTCCATGAGGAGTGAGAGTCTGAAGTTGGTGAATCCAGAAGTGTCTCTTTTTGACAGGAGCATTTCTAGGTTCCCACCTCTAGGGGGCAGTTCTACATGTTCAATGCCAATAGTATATCTTAAGGAAGAGGTAGGATGGTTCAAATCAACAAAATGAGCCGCCACAGGATAGTCAGTGTTGGGGAGTAATGGATTACATGTACCAGAGTTACGTAATCAGAGTACAAATTATGAGTAACTGTATTCGGTTACAGTTACTTTTTCAATGAGAGGTAATTAGATTACAGTTCCTTTGTTGAAATAAATGGATTACAGGGCAGTATTTTCCTGTTTTCACATTTTTTCTTGTTCTTTTTTTTCGGTAATTCCACTCATTGCCGGAAACTAAACCAGGTCTAAACTAGATCTAAACCAGGTCTAAGCTAGATCTAAACCAGGACTAAAACTAGATCTAAACCAGGACTAAACCATGCTGTGCGGACATGTCTCCTCTTCTATCAATAATATTTTTAAAATGGTTAAGTAAAGTCTGGGCTTTTTATTGTCTTTTATCAGACAAAACATCTTATGTTACAATTACAAAGTAGGAAAAAGCCTAGCATCTTATGTTACGATGTCTTTGCTTCTCTACAGCAAATCAAATAATCCAAAGTATTCAGATTATGTTACTCACTTTAAGTAATTTAATGGATTACATTACAAACTACTTTTTGGTGTGTGTAATCTGTAATCTGTAGGGGAATACATTTTAAAAGTAACTTTCCCAACACTGAAGACAGTTCATGTTTTTACATCTGACTGTACACCTATACTCTGCAATACGTGTTTTTAAAGCTCTGCTTGTTTTACCCACATAGGCTTTACCACAGGGTCTGTTGTTTTGAAAATAAAAAAGCTTTTGGACATCGGCCATCTGAGTGTGCTATGCATTTTTTCACTCTTGTTAGGCCTGATATATATGACACCTGTATTCATTCACGTTCTTGTCTTTTCTTCACAGAGGTCTTGTAAGTCCACACAGACGCTGCTCTGGCCTTAAGTCTCGGGAGATTCACTCGCTTTTTCAGCCTGTGCCAAAACAACAACAACAACAACAAAATGATGAACTGTACTGAGACCTGGAGCCACTCTGCCTACAACCACTTTAAAATGTACTAAAGATTTAAAAGTATAAGAACAGTATTGTAAGGTGCAACACTACATGAGTTTTACTGAAATCCTGTAACATGCAGAGTTTCTGGAGCACCTTAAAGCAGACGACTATGGAAAAGAGTTTAAAGAGGGGGTATTATGCTCAGTTGTTTCTTTTTTTTTTGCTTTTTCTACCGTGTTATAATGTTGTTTTCTCATCATTTTTATATGCCTGAAGAGGGTTTAGAGTCATCCATGCATGTTTGAGTAATCTAGAGATCTCTCCCGGGCTCCATAGATATACAAAAACATGATACGAACTTACACTACAACTTCACAATCCTGATGCGATGTGCTGTAGTTTCATTAGTGAGATGCACGCTGATTGTGTTGTGATAGCGCTATGAAAGGGGAGTGACTTAACATAGGGAGCAAAGGGAGGGGGGGGCCTCAGAGCATCAAAAACGAAAGTGAAACTTATAGAACATGTCGATATGTTGTTTTTTCGACGAATATAGCATTTTTAAAAGAATAAAAGGTAACATGGTGATCTAAATAAGTGATGTGTTACAGTTAATGCCCCACAGAAGTAAAGTACCCCCTCTTTAAGACCTTATAAAATCATGGAAATGATTATTATTATTATTGGATAAGGTTGTATTCTTACGATGAGGATTTGATGTTGTTTTTCGTTGAGCATCGTGAGTCTTTTTGCTGTTTTTTGTGTCTTGAATCTTGATTTATTTAAACTCGGCGAGCAAATAATGAAATGTAAAAATGTGTATGCTGCCTCTGTCACGGGGATGTGTCAATAAAGCTTTATCAAAGGGAAACGTCGTGATTTTTGAAATTCAGTCACGATTATTGCTTAAAGGTCCAATATTACACAAAACTGACTCTTGTGAGCTTTAAGACATGTTAGAATGTTGTTACCTCCTCAAAAACAGACCTTGCATTCACATGTTTGATTAATCCTTTATTGTTATTCTGTCTACATCTCCGAAGCTCGAAATACTCTCTTCCACTTTGTGATGTCTGGAAGTGGTGCTTTAATTCAGTAGAGATTGGCAATTCCAGGGCTGAAATGAACAGTGTGCGTTCTGTTTGAGAGAAGAACTCAGCCTAAATGTGCAGGGTTTGTGTGTTAATAAACATGTGAATGAAACAAAACACAACTCCAGGTCAAGTGACAGTGTGTGGGAAAAAAGTAGAGAAGAAAAGTACAAAAAAAAACCAGAAAGTATTGAGAATTCTTTAAAAAAATCCTTCTACTTACGTCTTCAACACAAAAAAAATTCTATCCAAAATGTAGACAAGTTTATACACAAGGAAAGACTTTTTCTGATACTTTAAACATTAATTTAACAAAATGAAGGTGTTGTCATTTATTTTTATTAGTTAATTCCAACCTGTTGTGTCATTTCGATTTAGGTTTTGGCCCTTGTTGACATTCTGGTGGCTATGAAACAGTGATGGGATCACTTCTATGTTTGCTGTCTGTGTCCAACCAAGTAAAATACTCAGTTTAAGTTTCATTCACATATGTTTCACACACAAACCCTGCAGATTTAATTTATTCCACCTTGTGATGTCATGTGGTGATACAGGAAGTGCTCCACTCCACACACCTTCACTAGAATCATTTCGATGATTTCAGCCCTGGGATTGCCACAAAATTACTACTGAACTAAAGGTGAAAGGAGCTGTCAACTTGAAAACTACCACTACATGACATCATAAGGTGGAACAGAGCATTTTGAGCTTTGGAGATATAGATAGACTAATAATAAAGGGTTATTCAACGTGTGAATGCAACAAAACACAACTCCAGGTCTGTTTTTTTTTTTTTTGTACCATCCACCCAGCCAGAGGAGTGGGCAGCACACAGGGCACACAGGGCACTATCTCCATGATCTTACTAGGCTTGGTCAGGACCTTAGCTGGAGGATTTAGCTTGTGGTGCATGTTTTGGGTTGATGGGGGAAGCATACCCAGACACAGAAAGAACCAAGCGATTCGGGGATAGAACCTGGAACCTTCGTGCTGTAAGGCATGAGCGGCAGCCACTCAGCCGCCATGCCGTTTTTGGTAACAGCATTAACATGGTGTAAAGGTGACAAGAGTCAGTTTAGTGTGATACTGGAGCTTTCATTTGTTTCTATTGTCCCCGGTTTAATCTATAGTAACTTTAAAAGATCAGGCACAAAACTTCTCATACATGATCGTCACATTAAACGACCACCAGAGGGCGTGAGTGTGATGCTTGTTATTTGAGTTAAAAGCGTAGATGGAAATGATTTACGGGGGTTCATTTTATCTATCTATCTATCTATCTATCTATCTATCTATCTATCTATATATATATATATATATATATATATATATATATATATATATATATATATATATATATATATATATATATATATATATATATATATATTTTTTTTTTTTTTTTTTTTTTTTTTTTGTATGAAAAGGCCTGAGCTCCAAGAAATCAGCAACAGAATGAACCAATAATTCTCCACAGAAATCACTTCTGTAGCTGTAACCTCAAACCTGACCGGATCATAAATATCAGTAGAACTTTTGAGGGACAGTCTACACCACTGTCCCTTTGTAGTGTTAGCAGTGATTGTGTAGTCTATTCTGTGTCTGTAGTAGAAATAATTATTAGAGTGAGAAGGATTCGTGTGACATCTACACAAAAACACTCCGTGCTTCTGGATAATGTGCATTAAACTGACACTGGACGTTTGGGCTCGAATTTCATTAAAGGTTATTTATTGTTATAGTCCTGAAATATGACAAAATTAATATTTATGAGATAAATCAAGTTGAAATTAATCTGTATCAGTGAGCCAAGCACCAAACCCAAGAATTTATGGTGTATAAAAAGTGACAAAGATGTTTAGGATCAGATTGTCTGAGTTCTTGTTCTTTTGAAGGAGTTGGGCTGGTTTGGTCTCATTGCAACTATTGACCTACTTTATATACGACTTTTCAGCAAATCCTGAAAACCCCTTTTCTCTTACAAATGTCAGCAGCAAAATGAAATGTGTTATGTCACCTTATCCACTCAACTATTTATGTTGACAAGGTATAAGACAATTTAAGTAATTTATCTTCCACGTACATCTCAGTTTAACACTGACTCACAAAAGCTACATTTACACCATGATCTTCCCTTGGCATACCATTACCTAAAATTGTGGCATATTTCTGTCTAACCAGTGTCTACTGGCCTAATAGTTTAATCGCTCTTGCTTTATAAACCTCAAGGAGCTTGAACACTCAAAGATAACACTATGTTCACTTTTGAAATCATACTGTTGACTTCAAGTCCAGGCCTGTATTATTGATGGCAAATAAACTTCTCCTGATCTCCAGCCTTTTACTTCCATCCTTTCTTGGACAAGCTGAAAACTTTGACAACACAAGGAAAGCACTTTTAGAAAGTGTAAACCTATGATTTCGATTGTACCTGAAGATTTTTAAAAATACATATTTACATTACAACTATAGCATTTTTTTCCATTTGTGATTCTACTTGATGGAGACCAACTGACATATTTATTCTGTCTGTAACACGTGTCAAAGTCCAAATGAGAGCAGAACGAGTGAATGGTGTGATAATAATACATTTATTAACACTCAGTGGTCTTCTTGTGGACGCACACAGCAACACAAAGAATCTCTGACTCTAGGACTCTCCCAACCCTATGGAAAAGAGATCGCTTCAGAGGTTTGGTGACTGGAGCAGCGTCTGTGTGCTCTACTCCAGCGCTCACATGTGAGTCTTCTAACTGGACAAGGTCTATGAGTTCAGAGCTGTGTGAAGAGTCAATTGGACTTATCCCTGCAGCTGGGGGGCGCTGTAAGTGGCGCAGCAGAAGACACTTGTCCACAAAGAGACCAAACACCAGTCTTGGCCAATAGATGCAGAGGATTCTCAAGCATCTGTTTGGACTTCCACTTTGACCTCAGAGACACACGTTTGGTCCTCCAGGGGACATATTATGAGTCTGAAATAATGCTGTCAAAATAAGAACATGTCCACCATGCTCCTCGTGATATTAGTGTGAGTTTCCTCGTACCTGTATCCACACGGCAGGAGTCTGGTCCCCAGCTGGACTTAGGAGGTCCTCCTGGCCACTCCAAAGTCGGTTAACTGCTCCTCCAGGTCCACGAACATGACATTGTCAGGTTTGATGTCTGCGTGTGTGATACCGAGCCCTTTGAGTGTGTCTAAAGCCACCAACACACGCACACGCACGCACACACACGCACAACAGGGTAAAAGTGACTGTCATTTCAAGTTGTGTGATTTGAATCCATAAAAAGTCCGGACTGTGAAACATGTGGTTGAACTTTATAAAGAATTGTGATGTAAAACATGTGTGAAAAACTGAGGAAGTGAATGTAACAGTGCAACACCGACCAGACCGTGGACAGCGGCGAACAGTGGCGCTTGTAGCATCAACAGCAAATCCACACAGGAGCTTTACATGACGAGCCGTAACTCAGATCAGGCGAATCGAGGCTCCAGGACCGGTGGCACTATAATAAAACCATATGTTAAATGATAAACTTGCGGAAGTGCGCCGAGGTCAGAGAACCAGACGCTGCGGGTAGTGCCCTTTTATAATCCCAGGCGCCACCTGGTGGCAGACGGTAGCAGGCGCGCACTGCTACATCTACTTCACTTAAGAACTTCTTAAAGTGGGTCCTTTTTACTTTTACTTCACTACATTTGGGAACAGGTATCTGTACTTTCTACTCCACAACATCTTTGATCAAGACTGAAAAGATCTACAGTGGAGGAAATATGTTTTCAGAGATAAAAGATAAGATCTCTTTCTGATTTTGCAGGTTTGCACACTGACAAAGAAATGAACAGTTTATCATTTTAATGGTGGGTTTATTTTAACAGTGAGAGAAAATCCAGAAAATCACATTATAGAAAACCGATTTGCATTTCATTGTGTGAACTAAACATTTGATTGAAGAGTTGTGGCTCCACAGACCAGTTCGACACTCCTAATCAACTTGTCACCTGAATTGAACTGAACTGTTTTAAACTGTCACCAGTATGAAAGTCACCTGTCCACAGAATCAGTCAGTCAGTCAGACTTCAAACTCTCCAACATGGGAAAGACCAAAGGTCTGTCAAAGGACGTCAGGGATAAGACTGTCGACCTGCACAAGGCTGGAACAGGCGACAAAACCATAAACAAGAAGCTGGTGTTAAAGAAACAACTGCTGGTGCAACTGTTCAAAAATTGAAGAAATACAAAATGAACATCAGTCGACCTCGGTCTGGGGCTACACACAAGATCTCACCTTGTGGGGTTTCAATGATCATGAGAACAGAGAGAAATCAGCCTAGAACTTCAAGAGAGGAGCGAGTCAATGATCAAAAGGAGCTGGGACCACAGTCACTAAGAAAATCATTAGTGACACTTTACGCCACAGTGGATTCAAATCCTGCAGTGCTCAAAGGTCCACCTGCTTAAGAAGGCACATGTGCAGCCAGTTGATGGTTTAGAGAGGGATTGGGAGAAGGTGCTGTGGTCAGATGAGACCAAAATAGAGCACTTTGGCTTTAACTCAACTCACTGTGTTTGGATGAAGAGAAATGCTGCCTGTGACCCTACGAACATCATCCCCACCGTGGAGCATGGAGCTGGAAACATTCTGCTTTGGGAGTGTTTTTCTGCCAAGGGCACAGGACGACTTCACGTCAACAGGAGGATGGACGGAGTCATGTACCGTTAAAAGCCTGAGCGACAATATCCTTCCTGAAAAAACTGAAAATGGTTCATGGATGGGTCTTTCCAACACAACAATGGCCCAAAACATTCAGCCAAGGCAACGAAGAAGCAGCTCAAGAAAAAGCACATTAAGGTCCTGGAGGGGCCCAGCCGGTCTCCAACCTTCACCCCACAGAAAACCTAGAGAGAGCAGAAGCTCTGAGCTGCCAAGCTACAGCCACAATAATTACCTCCGCCAAGGAGGTTATGTTTTTGCCGGCGTTTGTCTGTTTATTTGTTTGTTTGTTTGTTTGTTTGTCTGTTAGCAACATAACTCAAAAAGTTATGGACCAATTTTGATGAAATTTACAGGATTTGTTGGAAATGTGAAAAGGAAGAACTGATTTCATTTTGGGGGTGATCCGGAAGAAATCCTGGATTCTGGATCACTTTGAAATTTTAGTTAACATTGTGGTAAATGGGGCCAAAAATTTTGTTTCTCAATATCTCGGTTAATTATTGACCAAACCCCATGAAATTTGACTCAGGGATGGACAATGGGATCCTCTTTCATATTCCAAAGGCTGATCTGGATCTGATCCAGAAGACTGATTTTATTGCAATTTATATAAAAAATGACTGCTTTTCTAGTTTAGAGATGATCTGCAAAGAAGAGTGGACCAAAACTCCTTCTGATATGTGACAAACTTGGTTACCCACCACAAGAACCGTCTGACCTCTGGAGGGTTCAAATACTTCTTTCACTCAGTGAAATGCAAATCAGTTCATACATTTTCTTTAAAATTAAACTGACACAAGGACAATAAAGCAGGAAAATCCCACTTCAGCATTACTTTTCAGTGGTGGATGAAGTACTCACATTTGTTACTTAAGTAAAAGTACAGATACAGAGGCTCAAGTAAAAGTAAAAGTATCACATGAGAAAATCTAGTTAAATAAACATACTAAAGTATCTGTTTTAAAATATACTTTAAGAGTAAAAAGTAAAAGTATTTTGCAGAGATTTTAAGACCAAAGCATGAAATGTTGTGATTCTGATCAAGAATTGAGCTGATTTTAAGTGATTCAATTGATTTCTTCTGTGTTTGAGTTTTTGTGTTTGGTTTGCTCAACGTTTGGACTTGAACTCAAACAAAATGTTCTAAAAATAAGTCTCAGACATTTCAACAGGTCTCACACCGTAAAGAAAAGTCCAAATCTAAAAGTAGTGGAGTAGAAAGTGCAGATACATGCTCTCAAATGTAGAGAAGCAAAAGTAAAAAGTGTTCACTGTAAAGTAGTAAATGTTGTAGTAATACTTTTGTACTTTGTCACCTTCCAGCTCTGGTATCATAAAAAAAAAATAACAACAGTAAAAGTACAAGAGGCTCAAGTAAAAGTATCACATGAAAAAATCTACTTAAGTTAAAGTATTAGTAGTAGTACCTGTTGAAAAATGTACTTTAAGAGTAAAAAGTAAAAGTATTTCGCATAGAGTTTTAGAACAATTAAAGGATGAAATGTAATGATTTTAATAAAGGTAAAAGTTAAATGTATTCACTGTAAAATTTAATTAAGTGAAGTATAGATACCCAAAATTTGTACTTAAGTATTGTACTATTACTTTTGTACTTCATTCCCTTCCACTGCTGGTATCATTAAAACAAAATTTCCAGTATAATATAAAATAAATCAATGAATACAAAAAACAACACTAAGACTAGACAAAAACTAGTTTACACCAGGACTAAACCAGGACTATTGTTGACCCGGCCTACGTGACATGTTTCTATTACATATGACACTTTTTTTTTTTTGATGGTGCTCCTTTGGCCTCACATTTCTACGACAGAACCCTGAGCTTTGATCCGGCTCCACTCTCTGCTCAGACTCTTCAGATTTACAACTGAACCGGAGTGAAACTTCATGACAAACAAATATAAACCCGCCGTCCAGTCTGAGGCGCGTCTGCTCTGTCCTCACGTGAACTCAAGTCAGGTTGGGTCACAGCAAATACAGGAACATGGAGTTGTGTATTTTCTGTCAGGTTAATTTCAACTTTAAAGGTCCTATATTATGCAACGTTGTGAGGTTTAAGACATGTTAGAATGTTGTTCCCTCCTCAAAAAAAGACCTGGAGTTGTACTTTTTTAAAAGAATCTTAAGGTCTCAAAAGCAAAATCTCTGGGAAAGAACACAGCTTCCTAAAAGAGTCCTAAAACCACAGCTGAAAACAAGTTATTTGTCTCTATAAGGCACAGCAACCTTACATATGCCATCAAAAACATGATAAAGAAAAACTGGAACATTCTTATAAGCGACCAGTCACTGGCATCTCTTTTCTCTGACCCTCCATCATTTGGTTTGTGAAGAGCACCGACTTTAAAGGATCAACTTGTGATAAACTATCTCCCAGCAGAAAAAAAGACATTCTTTCCCAAACCAGTTGATACATTTCAATGCAGTACTTGTAATCACTGTGCCCATATTAATAAATGTACTTTTTTAAAGACTCTTCAGGCCAAAAAACTTTCACATGTCGTCACTTTGCAAAACTGTAACACTACATATGTGGTCTATTGTTTGGACTGTAACTGTGGATGCTTCTATACAGGACGGACTAAACAGAGACTCAAGGATCACTTTTGTGATCATAAAAACGCTATTAAAACTAAAAAACCCAATTACCCAATGGCCCTACACTTTCAATCTTCCACTCAATGTAAAGTCAGTCTCTTAAAAGTCATGGTCATTGAGGTAGTTCCTCCAAACATCAGAGGGGACGACAGACTCCAGCAACTGTCAAAAAAAGAAACTTTCTGGATCGTGAAACCTTAAAGGCCACACAACATCCGGGCTTCAGTGATGATTGGGATTATTCCATTCCATTTGTACTTGTGATTTTCAATTGTCTATGTATTTCATGTGATGGACACACCTACTTTCCTCCAACACGTCTTGTTGTTCTTGTTGTTCTTGTTGTTTGGTGGCTCTGCTCATCACTTATATATTCACATATATATTTACACGCGTGGAGGGAGTACCGAGAGAAGAACTCTAGTTACATGAAACTAGTTGTTGTTCACCCAAATACTCTCTAAAGCCTTCTCTCGTTTCTCCACGCCTTTTATTCAAAATTAGGACCCCTAGTTACAATGGGAACTACTCCTCTCAGAACGGGAGGGGGAACATGCAAACATTAAACATTTAGGAGTAGTTCCTCTTTTGCTTACAGGAAAAACAAAAATAACACTTCAATACAGTATTCAGGCCAGAGTTAAGGTCAGTCTGCCCTCCTCATTTCATCCTCCTTAGTTTTATCCTCCTTAAGCAATGGTCGCCCAAGATGTTTCCTGTTATTGAATTTGATAGGACTTCGTGACCTTCTGAGTCGTTTAAGTGCACATATTGATACATTGATTATAATATGATTAAATAACAAAAGTGAATATTACATTACCATTACATACACAGTGAGATTAATATAAATGTTGAATCCATCACTCATGGTTGGCCAACCTTTTCTTGTTTTGGGGTTTGTTCGCTGTCTTTTTCCTGCTGTCATGTGATGTTGTCATGTGATTAATTGATTGTATTTATTGACACCCGGTGTGTCTTGTTTTTACCACTTTGCCCTAAGAAAGACCATTTTGCTGGTCGAAACGTGTTGGTGTCTCTTCATGTAAAGAACTTTTAATATATTCAGTCGGAGTGTCTCGGGTTTGTACCTTACCCATTTCTACTTTTTCCTGTAAGGGTCATTTTCAGCTGTAAGACCAGAGTACTGTTAGTTTTTATTCTTTTAAGACCCAGTGAAGTGCTCTACCTTTTTTTTCTTCATCAGACCTGGAGTTGTGTTTTGCTTCATTTGGTTTGTTGTGAGTTTATGTGAGTGGGGTCGTCTCTCCACAGATCTGGACAGTTTGGGTCACAGTGAACACAGGACAATGGGATGTATATATCTATGTTGTATTGTTCGTTCAACTGAAAAAAATCTGCAGAATCAAGTCAAAGAAGAGTTTCCTGCATGACTAGAATTATTAACTCTTTTTGCAAAATGTATACTAAAGTGAAAGTTTAAAATGCACCTGAATTATCATTATTTCTCCTCCATTTGAATGCAGTTTTGGTAACTTACCTATCACCTCATAAAAATCAAATTACAAGGGACTGTGGATAGGCAAACCTCCTACTAAACTACTTTCTGATTTATGTTGCAGTGTTGTTTCCTCATCACAGACAGATCTGGTGTTCTACTGTGTTTTTAAACTACACACAGCTTTTTCAACCCTACTGAACTAAAGCTTGTTGTATTTAATTGACCTCCATTAGCTCTCAACTATTCTGCCTGGAGACCTGGAGTTTTTTGGGTTGATGGGGAAAACTGGGCCCAGAGGAAATCCACCCAGACACAGAGAGAACATGCAAACTAAAAACACAGAAATGCCTGGGGAGCCAACGGATCAAACCTGGAACCTTCTTGCTGTGAGGCATGAGTGCTAGCCTCTAAGTCACCGTGCCATGTAAGGTAAAAGAAGCTGTACATGTGAAAATGAAACAAAACACAACTCCAGGTCTGTTTTTAAGGAAGTAATAATATTCTAACACGGTTTAAAGCACACAAGAGTCAGTTTTGCAGAATATGCGACCTGTAAACATGGTATTGGTAATGGAATGGTATATTACAGCAATAAGAACACCTGTAAGTGAATAAATATGAGATCAAATTGAATGCCATGCTGTGGAACATTCCAGGCAGAACAGATAGATCTCCAAGGTGACAAGACAGTAAACAGGACAACCTCCTTGTCAAAGCCTGATCTCCTCAGACCTCAGAAGCTCAGCAGGGCCGGGCCTGGTTAGGACTTGGATGGGAGACTGCTGAAACACCAGGAACCACAGGGGGACACCAGTCACAAAAACTGTCATTGTGTCCTTAGGCAAGACACTTCACCCACATTGCCTAGTATGAAAGTGGTGTGTGTGTGAGTGATGGTGGCGGTCAGAGGGACCAATGGCTCAGATTGGCAGCCTTATTTCTGTCGGTCTGTCCCAGAGCAGCTGTGGCTACAATAGAAGTTTACCACCTCCAGTATGGAATGCATGAATAATGCACCAAATTGTAAAGTGATTTTGAGTGTCTGGAAAAGAGCTGTATAAGACTAAAACAGTATTATTATTATTTATTTACAGAATGCATCTTTAATCTGGACAATAACAAATATAATAGGCCTTTGCTTGCTGTGATGTCATATGAAACTCTAAATGTTTACTATTTCTACCCTGGGAATCAAACCCACAACCTTGTCAGTGCAAAGGCAACAATTACCTGATAAAATGTGTCTCAAAAGCCAAATTGGCCAGTCCACCTAAATGATATTGTGGTTAAGTATTTCTGTTTGAGGTGTGAATTCAACAGTGGTTTTCAGACCTTGGTTTCACTGCACAGTTCTCACAACAGACCAGGATTAAAACCAGAACTAAACCAGGACTAAGCCCGGACTAGGACCAGGCAATCTTCAGAGTCTGAGGTGAGTCCATTCTTGCCTTTTCATTTTTATTTTAAATTTAATAGAAGATTGATAGAAAATAATAATTATAGATTTAGATGCTGCTTTTCCCCCATAACAAAGTGTCAGACAGAGCAGAGCCTACAGTTAGCATCACACCCCCAGGGACTGTTGATGACATCAGCTGCAAAGTATCAGTTTCAGGATTCAAACAGGACTTAACTGGGAGTTTATCCTGAACTAAACCAGGCCATGGTCTCATCTGTGGCTGTTTGAAGTTCTCTCTTTGCTCTCCTGGTGCTGCGCTGTGAGTGTAAAGTAAATAAAGAGTTGAGCTCTGACCTTTGGAGCTGAACTTTCTCTCAGTCCATAAACACATCGGGAGTGAGAATGCTAAATTTAAACCAACAGAAATGCACAAGACAAGAACAGAGACTGTACCCCCTGCTGACAGGGCAGTAAGGGGTAGAGCAATGTTACTTCAAACTCCAAGAAATATTACTTAGTACAAGTGCAAAGTGCTGGTCCCAGAAATTACTCATGTAGGAACACAAAAGCACTACTATAGTTAGTAGCAATTATCTGGGTGTAACACATAGATTTATAATTTGAAGTATATGTATCTTAACTGGAAGGCCAAAAAACACTAAAAATGCTCAAAGCAATGTTTGGGTGTGATCAATAAAAAAAAAGTCTTAGTCATTTCTCTGAAAAGAACTGAAATTTGCAGACTTATTTTCAAGGGAGTGGCCCTGGTCAAGAGGCAACTTAATTATAAACAACATGGGTAGAAGAACAGTATAGTCCAGGGGTCTCCAACCTTTTTCTTCCGGTAAGCTCCTTTACAAAACAAAAAGGCCAGAGATCTGCTCATTTTAGCGGCTGCAAGAATTTGAGACGATTATAAGAAAGAGGACAAGCCTTTGGATCCAGTTAGACGCCTATAAAACAAACCATTGCCCATTTACACACAAAGTTGGGCTTCAAAATTATACATTTAACAGTAACAGGCATATAATTAACCAAATGTTTGTTATTCAGCACAATGGTATAATTCCGAAATCCCTTGGCGAGCTTCTTGAAAGGGAGTGGAGAGCTATTGATAGCTCCCGAGCTACAGGTTGGCAATGCCTGGTACAGACTATTTTTTTATAGGTAATTTTTCACTTTTTCTATGTGACAATTTAAATTTAAAAGCTACTTAAACTAAATTTGAGTTTTAGGCTAAGTTAGAGAAAAATCCCACACACCATCTTACTTGCAAAATGTGAGATTTATAAGAACAAACAACGTTTCAGCACTAGGTCTTCGTCAGGCAAACAGTTTTAGGCTAACTACATATTTTAATACATCAGTTAAATCATGCTTTGCTTTTGAAATCTACAGGCAAACCCCATAGAAGTATAACAGTTATAATAGTTATTCATGGCACATTCTATGGCACTGATGGGCCATTACTTTTTCCATGGGGCCACATGAGAAACAGAAAATATTGTGGAGGGCCAGGCCAAAATGCTTAACTCAGTTCTGCATAATATGAATTGTATTTCTTTATAAAAAGCAGTAAATAGCATTGTTTTGATGAGCTGGTAAGACTAAGAGTTTATGTTTTGACTAAGCAATGAAAAAGTGAGGATGCCTTACAAAAAAAATGTCAGTGTCTAAAATAAAAGGAATGCATGTCCATGCATGAGGTAAAATTATAAAATATGTTTATTTGTAATTACAAATGATGTTAAACAAGTCAGTCAGAGTCAACCAAAGGGCTGCATGTGGCCCAGGAGCTGAACAATACCCAGGTCTGGTATAGGCTATGTTTTCGTTGATTATTTTTCACTTTTTCTATGTGACAATATACATTTGACAGCTAGTTCAACTAAATTTGATACTTCACTTAAACTTAAATCATGCTTTGCTTTTGAAATCTACAGGCAAACCCCATAGAAGTATAATAGTTGCAGTGTTGGGAAGGTGACTTTTAAAATGTATTCCCCTACAGATTACAGACACCAAAATGTAGTTTGTAATGTAATCCATTAAATTACTTGTGTGAGCAACGTAATCTGAATACTTTGGATTACTTGATATTGTCATGCTTTTTAAAACTACATGAATGTAGCAACCACATCCTGCAAACTCTTGTTGGTTGTCTTCAAATTGTCTGTTGAGCCCAAGTCTCCATGAACAGGTAACTGTTTGCAGTAGAGAAGCAAAGACTAGGAAATCTGAACATAAGATAAGTCTGCTTAAAGACAATAAAAAGCCCAGTCTTTACTTAACTGATTAATATTAAAAATATTATTGATAGAGAAATTATTTTTATATGAGATCACTGCTGCTTTAAATTATGTCCACCTACTGTTGGTGTCCTGGTTTAGTCCTTGTTTAGTCCTGGTTTTAGACCTGGTTTAGTCTTGGTTTTAGACCTGGTTTAGTCCTGGTTTTTGTCCTGGTTTAGTCCTTGTTTAGTCCTGGTTTTAGTTCTGGATTAAGTCCTGGTTTTAGACCTAGTTTAGTCCTAGTTTACACCTGGTTTAGTCCAGGTTTTAGTCCTGGATTAAGTCCTAGTTTAGACCTGGTTTAGTCCTGGTTTTAGTCCTGATTTGGTCCTAGTTTAGACCTGGTTTAGTCCTGGTTTAGCCCAAAATGTGAAAACAGGAAAATACCGCCGTGTAATCCATTTATTTCAATAAAGTAACTGTAATCCAATTACCACTCATGGAAACAGTAACTGTAACTGAATACAGTTACTCATAATTTTCTACATAATTATGTAACGCCGGTACATGTAATCTGTTACTCCCCAACACTGATAATATTATAATAGTTATTCATGGCACAACCAAAAGCAAGGCCTCTTTGTATATATCATTTTTTCGTCTTTCACCCCATGTTATTTTTCGCTCTATAACAGAGCCTGTAAAACCAACTAAGTGTCGGTTTGAGCAACAGGTTAAACAAGTTAAAAAGAAATTCTATCCGTTCCTCGCCACTTCTCCACAAACAAACGTGACCTCTCAAACCGCGCCTCTACTCTCGCGTGACTTCACTGTTTAGCTCGTAGCAGCGGAGCTATCGGCGGCGCTCTGTTTTAACGGAACCCACTTTCGGCTTTATTTGCTCTAAAATCGTACATTTCTCATTATTGGTAACGTCTTTGCTTAATTCTACATTCCGTGGATTATATTTAGCACCATTATGACCGATCGTGGCAGTGTGAATACGCCGTTTGCTTCTGTTTTGTAGGTTTGCAGCGCGTTAGCATCAGGTTAGCACGAGTGGCTAACGGAAGGAAGGAAGGAGGGACCAGACTAGGCACGCTACATCGGCCGCTTTTCTCTTCTTCTTTCTCGAAACGAAACCACATCTGGACCGAAGCAAACGTGGAAAGGTAACAGATCATGCAAGATGTGTTAAAATAAGATGTTAACTGTATATTTTCATGGGTTTTGCGTGGATTTTGAGGACGTAAAATGGCTACTACGTTAGCGCTTTCCTCACGTTTTCTTTGCTGTAGCTAGCGTTACCTTGCAGGACTCGTGGTCACTGAATTAGTGGTGTTAAATCTTCTTACAGGACTTGATAAATATGTGTTTCTGTTATATTTAAAGATTTTGTTCAAGATAATGCATTTGATTTGGCAGATTTGATCGCTGGATTAAGTAAAAACGACGAAATTTAAATTTTTTTAATCCCAAGAAGTAGAACTGAGTTAAGCTACAACTAAGCAATGGGACACGTTTTGTTTTAGATTTGCAACTATTAAAGGCCATTTGTGTTCTTAAATGTTGCTAAAACATGAATATTGTTGTTAATTTTGGTTTGCATTTGTTCTGAACGGAAAATCCCCAGTAGCACGTTCAGTTCATTCATTGTTAACTCATTGTGAATGTATTTTAAACATTTTAGTAGTTTTTAGCCCTAAAGTCTTGCGGATTTAATAGATTTCATTGCATTTTAATTGTTAAATGTGCTGTGCTCTGTGTTTGGTAAAAAGCAGGTCCAGAGGTAACACATCAGTAACTTATAAAGAACTTTTTACACCCTGTGGGGCCATAAAGGTATTTAGGGCACTAGGGCTGGGTATCATTAAGAAGATGCCGATACCATACATACATCGATACATAGGCCACGATACGATACATATTTCAATACAGTGAGCTTACGATTCAGTACGATTCAGTAAGATATATTTCAAATTGATTCGATACTGTTCAGTAAGAATAAAGGCTAAATTGTGGCTGTGGTACTAAAAGTCTTTGTTAAACCACATCTTGTGCAAAGTGAATGTGAAACACAAACATTTTAATCATCAAAACAGTGAAAATGTCAAATGTTTTGCTTAAACAAATTTCCTTTTACTAAAGAAGCAACAAAATTACTGTATCACTGTAACAAAATAATAATTTAGTAAAATATACCAAAAAATACTCTTGGCAATATGTGAATACATTAGCATGCAATATCGATGCTGTATCATGACATTAAACAGTACGATATATATCGATATTTTGATATTTTTGCATACCTCTACATGGCACAACCCAGCTTAACTGCATTGAATATACATTATTTTCTAAATGTATAGTTAAAGCCTATGAGAAGTATGCAATGAATGTAAGTTATTTGCACTAAGGCAAGCAAGTGCAAGTAGTTAATAAGTAATATTGACATATTGTCATCACATTAAACAATAGAATATTGATATAGTGAGCTGCTGCATTGACATATTGAGAATAAGAGTATTTTTTTGTATATTTTACAAAATTTTGTTACAGAGCTACAGTTTTGTTGCTTGTTTAGAGGAAGGAAACTCATTTGTGCAACACATTTGGCTTTTTCACTATTTTTGATTATTAAAATGGGGGTGTTTCATATTCACTTTGCACAAGAAGTATATTTTATTGAACCGTATTGAACCGATTTGAAATATATCAAATCGAAAGTTCACTGTATCGAGATATGTATTTTAATGTTGCCTGTGTATTGTATCGACAACGTCTTAATAACACCCAGTTACAATCCTAATAGAGTTGTCTATTAGGATGAAAAATGAAAAAATGAAACCACAAAACCACTGGCTTAACTACGTTGTACATACATTATTTTTCAAAATGTATTGTTAAAGCCAATAACAATTTTGTAATGAATGTAATTTATTCGCATGAAGGCAAGCAAGTGCAAGTGATTAATAAGTACCGTTACAATCCCAATACAGAGAATTCAGTAAAACCACAAATAATCATTACAAAATTAAAAGAGTGCTACATAAGACCCTTTCGATCATATGCACAGCTAGGCCTGTCACAATAACAAATTCTGAAGTGCGATACATTGCTGAAGTAAATACAGACGATAAATTATAATATTGATACCAAACCAATAAAGCAGAATTATCTACAAAAAGTGTTCTAAATGTGCAATATTGCCCAAAAAGATTGGCTGCAATAAACGAATAACAGAATGCAACACTTACGTAGTTTGGTTGTATTTATAATGAATCATAGGAGTTCATAATTCAACCTTGTACAGCTCAGATCTTATCGTGGCACAAAAAATAATCACAGTGTTGCCAGTAGGACAAGGAAAAAGTCTGCAATATACGTACTGTAGTTTATAATGATTCACAATGATACACCAATTCATAATTCAACCTTTTACATCTCAGACCTAATCACGGATCAGAAAAATAACCAAAAATGTCCCACTGGTGCAAAGAAAAAGGTCCCCAACGATAGAATTATAATCCAAATATAATTAAATATAATGAAAGTTATTTAAGAAGTCGATGTAGCAATTATTGTGAGTCTTATGCACAGCTAAACAGAACAGTTCTGAGTGTGGATTTAAACATTCTCTGCCTCACATCATTAGGAAGACTCTTCAAGAATAAATGTTTTTTTATTGCAGTCAAAATATGAACACTTTTCTCCCTGTTAAAAGCCACTAGAATTTAGTTTCACAAATTGAGTCGCCTTCTCGTGATCTGTATTTTGTTAAGTTGTTACAGTGCCATAGCTTGAAGATGCTGTTTTAGTGATTATAGGAAAAGTAAGGTTTCACTTCCCATTGTTGTTTTAAATCAAGAGTTTTTTTTACTGTTGAATTTTCCATTGACTTAACATGAATTTACAATGAAAGAAGGTGCGTTGTCTCCTTTAAATGAATTGGCAATAAAAACCAAAAATGTGTGCAAATGTGCATTAACTCGTACAGTCGGATCAAACTTAAAAACAGTCTTGTAGCCATTTTGTTAACCTTTTGATACAGTGTTTTTGAAAGGTTTCAGTGGACAGTTGTTCAGTCAGTCATTGTTTAGTTGTAATTCTAACTTATCTCTCGGTGCATGCTGGGAAAGATGGAGATTAGGCGTTTCCTGCATTCAAGCTGCTTTCAAAGTCTGTGGCTGGCTTTAAATCTGCGTTGTGTTTATTTTTTTCTTTTAATTTCTTATTTTATCGAATGCACCTGACAGAAAAGAGCACATTACTGCGTTGTTGTCAGTCTCAGAAGAAATTACAACACTAAGGTCAGAAAGTAGGTCATGTATAATTTACAACCCAAACCTGTGTTTCCATGGCAGACAGCAGTTAAACAGTCAACCAACCAGATAATTGGATTTAGGTAAGTGTGACTCTAGCAACTCTGACTATTTACTAAAGAAGAATGCTATTGTAAACAAAGGTAATGAAAGTGAGTGAATGAGTGGCTGAAAAAAGAGATATAATCCTGACGTATTAATGTGGTGTGGTTAATTTTTAATTTTTTTTATTGTTTTGTTATATTTAACACTGATCAGATATGACAGTGACTATGCTTGCATGCACTACAAAATTGGATTATATGAGTTCCTTTAAGATTATTTAAATGACATGCAAACAAATACTAATTCTGACCATCATCAGAAGGAAATCCGAAGTATTGTTGTTTATTAATATAATATTATAAATCGTATAATAATCAGATGGTAAATGGTCACATATTTCTATAGTGCTTTTCCTCGTTTAAGGCACTCAAAGCACTTTACAACAAGGGAGTGAGGTGGGTTAAGTGTCTTGCCCAAGGACACAACGACAGCATTCATCTGTGGTAACTGGAATCACACCAGTCAGTGGTTTTGACCGCTCAACCCATGATGTGTTATGTGGAGAGCAGGATTTGAATCTTCAGATCAGTGGACAAACACTCTACCAACTGAGCTACTGCCGCCCAGATAAGAGTGTCCATGTAATAACAGCCAGAGAGAATTTTACTCTAATTTTCTCACCATCTTTGAAGTAATTTTTTACATGATTTTGCACAGAACTTGTAGCAATAGAAAGCCACTACAGTTTTAAATGTTGGAAATTATGAGAAAATCATATTGTGATTGAATTGTGATCTTGATTAAGACCTGCAGAGCACCATCTGTGAAAGTCTAATTCACTGATTGTCCTCCTGTTAACAGTCAAATCGGATGAATAATGAAGTGTGTCTCCCTGCTAATTTGAATACATCCTCTTTTGTAAACTGGAAATACAATAGGTCCAAACAGAAGAGGCTCCACAGGGGTCAGTACTGGGGCTCTCGGGTTTCTTTAACAGTCAAACAAAGAACAATAAGTGAAAGACTAATGGTGATGGTGTAGAATATCAGCCACATTTACACCAGTCAGCCCCACGGCGCATGTGGCATCAGATGTAAATGCAATCAGTAAATCACAAAGGCTACAATTTTTTAATAACCATAATGTCCTTATTCTGCATAAAAACCTCTAACCCTGTAGTTTAGATCTGTACAAACATGTTTGGAAATGTGATTGTTACTTTGCCAGTTCATATTTCAGTCTTAAGTGGACATTATAAATCGCAAATCTGACCACAGTGTTCCTCAGAGACATCACAATTAGATTAGTTTGTGTACTTTCCTGTAATTCACATGAAAACCAACGAGTAGCCCTCTCACAATAATTACAATTTTAGGAGTAACTATTGCCGGGTTGCAGATGACACTGTGACGTTCTACAAGACAATAATATTTGAAATGTTAGAGTACACCTTTAAGTGATTTGTTGCCACTTATTTTAATGACGTGATTAATTATAAAAAGTTTTACAGTTTTTGATTATTGTGTCAATGTTTAGAAAATAGAGAAAACATGATGCGTGACTTATTCAAATAGCCTCTCGTAACAAGAGGGATGTGCTAAAACTATAATTAAATACTGTACTGTAAGTAGCTTGACACCTTTTGTATGCACTAACACCTCTGGTTTCTTGGCACAGTTGTTATTTTAGTCAAAAGAGACCTGCATGTCTTAACTTGCACATTTAATGAAGCGTAAACCGAGAAAAACAAGTGATTCCCCAGTGAAGTATTTCCATGAAGAATATTTGTGTGCCCCAGAGACCAGCTTCCTCGGCCAGGCAGGGTCAAAGCTGCTTCATACCACCAATAGTTGTAATATATTTTTGCTGTGGTTTTGGTCTGATGATAAAAGAAGCGGTCTAAGAGAGCGTGATGACACCCATAGCGTTGTGCCTCAGTCAAATGAAGCTCATCAAGGCTGGCATTTAACCTCAGTGAAAGAAGGTGCTTGATTTGTTCGTTAAGGTTCATATCTTGATTCTTGGACAAAATAGCGAAATAAAAAAACAAAACAGGATATGTAGAGTTGGTTAATATTAATATTTTAAGACCAAAATGACTTGAATTTGAGCCAGACTATTTGGAAGATTCAGATTTAGTCTAGGTGACAGTTTTTTTAAAAATTTCCTGGTTTGAAGTTACCATCCCTAAGTTTGTTTTTCTAAAAGATGGCAGATGGGCAGCTGGACAGAAAAGCACTAGACCGTATGATTTTTTTTTTTTTTTTTTTTTTTTTAAACGTGTATGTCCTCCATAAAAGTCCCAGAGTGCAGCGTTAGTCCAGCTGAACGTCTGAGCTCCACAGCTGCTGCTCTGAGGCTTATGACAGATGAATATTTGTGATGGACTGTGAGCTGTCCACACTCTTTGTGAAGACCAGGAGCATGTGATTGTGTTTAGTGTAGAGATGGGCCTGTCAACAATTGTATTTGTCAGTGAAGCTCCATAAATTGGGACAGAGGTGTACTGTGATAAAAGATAAGATTGAAACCACTTTATGTAAATCTTAGTAAATTTTTAACTAGACAGCATCATTAAACGACTTGAGATGCACATATAAAAAACCAGAATAAATAAATAATTAGCTGAAGAAGTTATTTATTCAATCTTATTGTGTTTTAACAAAAATACACAAAATCTCCCCACTTTTACAAAGAAAATGTATACATGATAAATATTGAACCCCTAATTTTATTTTTTCGGCTTTCATATATTGAAGGATAAATCGATATAGTCGTGATAGATCTATTCAGGGGCAAGATTAAATTTGCACTATGCAGCTTCACAGGTGGAGGGTGTGCCAGCTTGTCTCCCTGGAAGTATAATTTCTTTGCTAGAAATCTACGATATATTGTAAAAGCAGCTCTTGGGGTTAAAATGAGACTGCTGTGTGCTAAACATTTTTATTGTCCGCAAACCAGGAAGTAAGTGATGACCTGTGAAAGTTATGAAAAGTCCCATCTTGCGAGACCCACATATTTCCAATGGGTTCAATAAGGTTTTTTCCTCTGTTTGCTGTTTTAGGAGTGAAACAAACCATCAGCCATGTCTAAACCAGAGTCTCCCATAAAGTCCAGATCCAAGTCCAGATCCAGATCCAGATCTTACTCCAGGTCCCACTCCAGGAGCCGGTCCAGATCCAGGTCCAGGAAGCGCCGCTACAGGTCAGTTAAGTATGTACAACGTCATGAGGGCTTTTTGGGGATTTTCTTACCTATATCCACTCTGTAGAATTCTACATGTTCACCTTAGTTTATTTCTACTGACTGAGAAGATCTTGAACTTTGTGCCAGTTTTTCAAGATCACGCTTGCAGTGATATTAACTGTAATCTTAGACATGTATTACCCATAGGATCATATTCTGTTTTAACGGTGTACTGCAAAACTTTTCTGTTGGGAATTTTGCAGCCTGCTTGTCTCCATGGAGATGTTCTTGTTTATGTGGAATTTTTCACCGTGTGACTTTAAACAAATCTATTCTAATCAGTTATACCTGTTTTATTGCGAAAGAAAAAATCCAAAAAGAAAACATGTATACTTAACATAAGCAGGCTCACCTCTCCACAGATCTGATGACTTTATCTCTCCATAGAGATGAACAAGTTGAATGCCATATTGTGGAACGTGCAAGTGGGCAAACCCTCTGCCAGAAAAGTTACACAGTGCACTTTAAACACATCCTATTCTATGTTTACTTAATGTTTGTTTTATGTGTGTCGTTCAGTATAACTCCCATTGTAAATAATGGACCGACACGTTCTGAATGTGCATGTGAGGAAGTTCCTCTTAAACATCATTTTTAACTTCTTGTTTGGACAGTGACCGCAGATAGAGGTGTGTTACCTGACTTTACTGTGATGGGAAAACATTTATTGCTAATAACTACCATACTAACCACGTACATCCTGATTCTCAGACTGATTTATGATGATTTATAATTAGATGCACACTGTACACAGTTACACACAGGTACTTATTATTGTACTACACCCTATTTGGCTATTCAACGCTTCACTTTAATGTGATAGATGTATATAAATTGATGTTATGTATTATATTGTGTATTGTATTTATTGCATGCTGCCTGAAAAACAAATTTCCTTTGGGACAATAAAGTTACGAAATTGTTCTAAAGTTTACACAAGTGTGACACAGAAGCTTAAAGCTGCATACTTATTTCATTTAAAATGCAAATAAAAAGATTGTAAAAAGATTAAAGCACATACCTTAAAAAATTTAAATCATCTATACAAATAACTTGGTTAAGTATTATTGATACAAATTCTCCTCATTTTACTGTCAAATGGTTATGTGTCTGTGTCTGTGTGTCTGTGTGTCTGTGTCTGTGTGTGTGTGTTTGAAAACACCAAATCAAATACTGAAGTTGTTTCCTGACCTGTTAGAACATGTAATCCTTGTATATTTTGTCCTGTACCTTGAGCCCTGTGAGCATTTGTCTCTCTAAAACACTGAGCAACTACCACTGTCTTTCTCTTCCTCTCTCATCCTTCTCTCCTTCTCTTTCCCTATACCTCACTCTACCCTCCTTTTGCTTTCTTTCACCCCCTCCTCTTTCCCTTACTTTTCTCTCCATCTTCTTCTTTCTCTCACCTTCTCCTTTCCCCCTCTCCTCTTCTCCTTTCCTCTCTCCCCTTTCTCTCCTTCCTTCCTCTATTCCTTTATTTCCCCCTCTTTTTCTTCTGCCTCTCTCCTTGTCTCCCATTCTCACCCCTTTCTCTTCCTCTTTCTCTCTCTCTCTCTCTCCATCCCTATCCCCCTCTTTCTCTCCCTCTATTATCCTTATTCCTTTCTCTCCCTCCTGTATTCCATTCCTCTTTCTTCCCCCCTCTTTCTTTTCCTTTCTTTCTGCCTCCCTCGTTCTGTCCCTTTTTCTTACACCCCTTCTTTTCCTCTGTCTCTCTGTCTCTCTCTCTCTCTCTCTCTCTCTGTCCCTACCCCCTTCACTTCCTCTCCCTCCCTCCTTCTCTTATGCTCTCTTCCTCGTCCCTCCCTCCCTCGAGTCCTTTGACCCTCCCTCCTCCTTTCTCTTTCGCTCTCCCTTATTCTCGCTTCCTCCCTCCGTCTCAGTGTATGAACAACAGCAGCGTACGCACGGCTCTTGTTTGTGTCTGTTCATTCACGTCTTTTTCAAACTGGAATCTAGCACTTTTACTACCTCATTAACTCACTCTTTTTGTCCCAATGAAAACCAAAGGGTAAGCAAACACACTTTATCAGTCTTATCGGGACACGAGCTCCGTACTTGGATTGATTTATAGTTTTGAGTTATAAATGATATACTTTTGACTTGAGTTGAGTAGTAACTAAAATCTCTGGCTTCTGTATTTGACAAATGTTCTGAGTGGTTGTGGTTGCATTTAGCAGTTGGAAGTTGTGAAATTGCACAAGAGTAAAATGTTCGTTGAGAGAATGTTGCAGGATCACGACCAGGAAGTAGGAGCAGCGCCGTAGAACTGGGTTAGTGCCAGTAAAAGCCGAAGGAGTGACAACACTGCCCTCTGCTGACAAGAGTTGGTGTTGAAGCTTAGAATGTTTACAATACACGTGAATAAATATGTGCATCTTTATTTTGGTATATCATCTTATGTATGTCACATAAAGAAAACAAATATAATGACAGAAGGAAGTAAAACATGTATAAAAGGCTTTCTGCATGATGTTTTTTTAGTAATACAGCCAGATAGAAGGATCTGTTCATATGCTTTGTGGAATTGTTTATTGTCAGGATGGATGGATGGATGAAAATAAATAAGGCAACCCTTCATAGAGATGTGCAGTCAGTTTTTTTACTGAGGATTACTGAGGATGAGTCAGAGGATTTGTAACTGAAGATGTAATGAGCCTAAAGCCTGAAGTAACTTGCGACAAATAAGAATAACCTGTTTACATGGATGCTAAGCACACCTAACCTTTTTTTTTTTTGCTTGTTTTTACCTGAAATGTTCCACTGAAAGGCATAACATTTGGTCATCTCCATGGAGACGAGCAATAAAAATGTGTTATTTGAATACATTAAAAATGAGTATATATCATACTGAGGAGCATTCCATGTAAAGCTCTAACATTTTCATGAGACAAGCAGGTCACTGACCAGAAAAGTTAAGGAAAGGAACTAAATGTACTTTTATTTTCTCCTAAGCTGTTTGAGTAGCATTGACTATTGTTCCTTGTCTTTTTTTTAGTGCCAACCAGGTAAATTTGCAGATTTGCATTCAAAATGTGTGCTGCTCCCTGTGGTCACTGCAGTTACTGAGTTTCTGATACAAACACCTGGCTGCAGGGGCGGAGCTTTAAGACTGGATATCTGTGGAAACATTCACACCTCCAGACCCTGCCCCTCCTCCCCCCTCACTAACCCTTTGTTTACAGACCACAGCCTTCCTCCCCCTCACGCTCTCCTTCAGGTCTACAGACCACACCCCTCCTCCCCCCTCACTCTCCCCTTTAGCCCTTTAGTCCTCCAGGTACTGTCCAGTTTAGCAACTTTATTTGAAATGTGCTTGTGGGTGGAGTTTAGGTGTTTAGTTCCACATTAATATGACCACACTAACTTTATCTTCTCTCTCTTCCACAGCTCCAGGTCACGTTCCCGCTCCTACTCTCCGTCCTACAGGAACTATCCGTCCAGGGACTACCAGAACAACCGCGGAGGCTACAATCGTGGATACAACCGCGGCTACCGGAGGCCCTTCCACTACCGGGGCCGTAACCGCGGATACCACCACCGCGGGGGGCACTACCAAAACCGTGGGGGCGGGTATGGGTACAAGTCCAACTGGCAGGGAGGCGGCTGGCACGACAAAGACCACAGCCCGCGCAGAGGCCGCTCTCGCTCCCGCTCCAGGAAGAGATCTGGGAGCAGGTCCAGGAGCAGGTACTCAGACCGCTCCTCCTCCAGAGGCTCCAGGAGGTCCAGAAGATCCAGGTCCTACTCATCCAGGTAAAATACTTACATGCAAAAAACATGTTTTAAATGTTCTTCACACTATTGATACAGATTCTTTGGTATTGGAATCAGCTGGTATTGATACGATATTCAATTCAGATATTTTTTGCATTGCCTCTGTGTGCTCTTTTTGAACAGACTGATGAGTGAAATGGAAACAGGAAAGAGTTGGATGTTTATACGTTACGCAAACATGTAACGCATGATTTTACATGCCAGTAAAATACTTTTTTTTTTTTTATTTAAGTGTAAAGTTCATTTTTGATTGTTACTTTAACTGAAGGCAGGCTGAGATCAATGCCACAGTTTTCAACCAGAAAACACCGAACTTCTGTCTTTTAAATGAGTTATTTACAGATACTAAGATTTTAAAATGTCCAAAATATTAAATAATGATCCACAGGTGTTATATTTTGTAACTATATAGCTACATAAATCATAATGTCTTCTTTAAGACTTAAGACACTTGTTTGGTATTTTTTTCTTTAAACGCTGTCCTCCCTCAGGTCTCGGTCATCGTCTCACCACCGCAAAGGTAAAACTGTGAAGGACCATAAGAAGCCGGCAGAGTCTCCAGGGGCCAAACCTGGACCGGAGGGCAGTGCCATCGAGAAGGCCTCAGGAGGAAAGTGGATCGACTATGAGACCAGCCCGAAACCCTCCAGCCCTGACAGAGCACAGGTAACGTTGTGTTATTCAATGATGTTTGTATTTTTAAATCAACTTATCTGTCAGTGTTTTCTGCTGGGTGTACTGTTTGGCAGAGTTTGGGTGCTAGAATATGGACACACACATCAGTTTCTGTTATGTGCCAAATTTTTAGGACTTTCTACCATTCAGAATCATTTGAAAGCTGTATTTTGTTTTACGTTGTTAATCGCCATGGCAGCTGTCCTTATTTTTCATAGTTCTGAAACCCATGGATCGGAGAGAAATTGTATCGCACTGTGAGTAGGGCCTCTTCTCCACAGATCTGGCCTATGACATGACCCAGTGGCATCATTTCATCTCGTTTCAGTTGAGATGGGCACGTTTAATGCCATTCTGGGGAACATTTCAGGCAAAGCCGTAACAGTGCTTATAGACCTGTCAAGATCACACATTTTTAAGCATGATATATAGCTGCAGAGAAATATGATGGGAAACGATAATATTGAAACTACTTTATGCCACTGACACAATAAAAATAATGCAGGATAATTCCTTTAAACCATTTTTAAATGGACAGTGTCATTAAAAGGCTTGAGTTGCAACTAATTAGTAGCAGAATGATGCAATAATTAGAAAATGTAACTTCTATAGCAACGCTCTGCTGCTCAAATTTGACCTAAAATAACTAAATCCCTATCCCTATTATTGCAAAGAAAATGTACACGCGATAAAGATTTGAACTCTTCAAGACATTGTTCCAGCGTTCATATATTAAAGGATAACTCTTAGAACTCACTCAGTTTGTAGTGGTCCAGTTTTTCACACTTTAAGACACTAAAGAGTGTGTACAGCACCTTTTAAGTTAGCAAAAGCATTTATTTATTTATTTTTCACTCCAAACTTGTCCTTTTCTCTCAGGCTGCTGCTAAGAAGGAAGACTCTGGCGTAGAGAACAAGGGCCCAGGGTCTGGGGGTCCCATGTGGAGGACCATAGGCTCTGTGTCTCCGCCCAAACCGTCACCTCCGGCAGCCGCTCAGACCGCCGCGTTCGGAGGATTCGGATTCTTCTCAAAGGAGGAGGCTTCCCCTAGTGACAAAGCAGGAATATCAGCCGCCTTCAAGAAGTATGTGTGCTCGCTCCCTCTCTCCTCCACTGTTCATACACTATTCAATGTGTCTCTAATGTCTTAACCGACTTTACATTTAATTTTTAGCCTAATGTCAAAGATCCTTGGAAGAATACAAATTAAAATGGAAAAACATCCCGATTTTAAAGCCATGATTTTAAGTGATTTGAAAATATTCTGAGAGGAGGTTGTTTGAAATCCCATTTTCTTAGGACGGTGGTTCTGACGTGAGTATTCTTACCACACCGTGAGTTCTTTTTGAAATGTGAAATGTTTAAATGTTCAAAATGAAGGTAAGGTGCAGAACTCTAGGTTTGTTTAATACAAATGTGCATATATCTACAGCTACACTTTTTGGGGTCATACCAGGTTCTATTCAGAGACTTTACAGACAGTGGATGGTAGCTGTCAAGTGTATGTAAGTGGGACTAAACACCTAAACTCCGCCCCTGCAGCTTGTGTTTGTAATGAGGACAGTGCTGTGTCAGTACTAGAAGCTGCACATGTATCTAGTCTGTGCTAAAATTACTACACAAAAACAAAAGAACTGTAGAGAATGCTATTAAAACACTTTACACAGTTTAGCTAGAAAAAAGTAAAGAGGATGCTTGCTGATTTTGTTGTGATGGCAAATGTTTTCAGGGAATATAGCATTTTCAAAAACAATAATCCAAATATGTGTTACAGTTAATAGCCTGTTGAAGTAAAATGTCCTGTTAAGATATACTTGACACATTACCAGAGTCCCTTACTGCTATGCTATGTAATGGTTGTGTGGAAGACAAACCATTTCTGTTATCAAAATGAGTATTTCAGTCTTAAACTCCCCAAATTTAAACAGTTCAGGTGACCAGCCAGATGCTAAAACTGTATTTCTTCTCTTCCAGATTTTTGGCTGAAAATAAAGGTAAAAAAGAGGAGGATGCCGCAGATGTGGACAAAGCTAAGGGAGATCTGTACAGCTCGTTCAGTGAGAAGGACGACAAAGAGCTGCCCTTCTTCGACGCCGGAGAAGAGGAGTTCCTCAAGGCTCACGTTTTAAAAGACGACGAGGAGGAGGGAGGGGTGAAGAGCAGCATCTCCGCCCGAGAACTGTTTGGGAAGTGGGGGGATGAGCCAGCTTATCCCACCGCCTACCCCATCAAAGACAAGGCTCGCAGGTAATACATATCACAGGAATATCAATGAGGCAACAGTCTTTACACAAGCACAAGTTAAATAAACTTAAAGTACGTTCAAATATCGTCAGGGATGCACTGATCCAACTTTTCTGTTTCAATACTGATGTTGAAACTTTGACTTAAACCATCTGCCAACACCTGATATCAACCAACACTCAGGCAGAGTCTGACAATATAATCAATTTTCTTTAAACACAAACGGCGTTGCACAAATGTGTTTAGTAACTGTCATTTATCATTTAAATGTAAAGTCATGACAGAACAGCCTTAAAAACGTTTAATATTATGAGATGTTTTGGGCCAACATTGGGCAGTAAATCTTCTTATAATTTACAGGCCAAAAAAGGGTATTGTTTGAACTAATATCTCATGTCTAATCCACCTAAAATGTTCTAATGTCTGTGCCGATATCGATACAGTATCATATCGGTGCTTTCCATTCACAATAACAAACAGTTATCAAATATTGTCTCTTTCTCATATTGTGCAAACCTGCTTACAGAGACCCAGATGAGCCAGAGGGGGCACCAGAGGAGGAGCCCTACCGCCGCAAACACAAGAAGGAGGAGAAGAAGAAGAAAGAGAAGAAGGAGAAGAGGAGGAGCCCGTCCCCGAGAGAGAAAGAGCGCCCCCTGTTCCCCGGAGCTTTCCCTGCACGCGCAGACTCCCCTCCCAGACTGGCTGCCTCCAGAGAAGAGTTTGAACAGAAAGTGAGCTCCATGGGGCTGGACGAACTACCCAGGTACAAATCAAGACAACAGCAGAGCTGTCTTCAAAAGTGAAAAGCAGAACTTAAACAGTTTGCAGTGGTCCAGAGTTATTCCTCACTTACCTTATGCATTCAGAGCATCTGAACTATTCACTGCAATTCACTACAAGTTGATGAGCACTTTTCACTACTTGCAGAGCAGAGTTTGCCCTCATGGTAATGCCACCAACAACTAGCACCTGCCTCCTCATTCTCTGACAATAAAATGATTTGTGATAAGCTTTGCATAAAAGCACTCTATCCTATCTCACTGTGTCTCAAAGCTAATGATAACTTGAGCCTAAAAGCATAAAATACATATAAAAAAGTTGACTTTAATTTGAATAGATTGTAGCTCTAGATTGTAGTCTGATTTTTTTTTTGACATAGGTTTGTGTGCAGTTGTTTTGATTATTATGCCTCAGAATCAACATTAATGTTTGCACTGAAACACAAACATCTCCTTTTCCAAACACAGAAGTGTCCTCTGGTGTTTGACCTGCTGTCAGTAACATCCACACACAGCTCACTGTCCACTGCTTCATCTTTAAATATTTTAGCGTGACTCTGCAAAAACTCCACAGCGATAGAATTGGACAGGAAGTAGTATCTGTGAGGGTCTCTTGAACTAGTTCACTCATTGTCATTTCCTGTGAACATGTTTGCATACTTATTGGCCTTACATTCTGCCCCTGTCTACGTGTTTGTGTCTCTCCCTCTTCATTTCACTGCCTCTGTGTCTAAACTCTCTTCTGTTTCAGGGACGTGATTCCATCAAAGAAAGACGCAGAGTTCCGCTCCATTTTCCAGCACATCCAGGGGAGCCGCCGCAGCCCCTCGGAGCTGTTCGCTCAGCACCTGGTGTCCATCGTGCACTACATCAAAGGTACTGCAGGGGGCGCCCTTTCTCAAAGCATTATTGTTGGTGCTGTTGGTAAGAGTCACTGGTTCACTGGTTCGATCCTCGCCCAAGACACTTGTGTTGTGTCTGACACTTGGCCCCTGTTACTCTCTCCTTAGATGCTCAAAAACACATTGATGTTTCTTCTTTTCATTCATTTAAACGTTTTTTGTGTCTCTTCTGTTTCAGCTCAGCACTTCCCGTCTGCAGACATGTCTCTGAGTGAGAGGTTTGCTCTGTACCAAAAGAAAGCCGAGGAGGCAGAACTGATGAAGCCGCGAAAGAGCCCCGAGATACACAGGTAAACACAAGCACACCCAGTGGAGTCACAAGTCACTTTTCTGGACACCTTTAATTTGATCACTGACCTGTGTGTTTCTTTTTCAGGAGAATTGACGTGTCGCCCAGTGCGTTTAAGCGTCACTCCAGTCTGTTTGAGGAGGTGGAGGAGAGCGGATTTAAGGTGACCTGATCTTTACTGAGCTAACCCCAAACATAAACCAAAGCACACGTGTTCAGAAACTCTGCTTCTCTTTCAAAGGACGCTTTTGTCTAAGTCTAAGAGTGTGTTTAATAAAGCCAGTCCAGAGAGATATGGTATTTGATATGATAAAATCCAACCAAAGGAATAATAAAAGGAAAATAAGATGAACCAAGCTTCTCTCTCCTTGTAAGTATTTCTCTTAAAGACCAAAATCAAGCCACAAATGCATGGTTTTAGGAACATGTTTTACCAGTCGATTACTCATTTTCAGCTACTCTTACACGGTATCTGCCAGATTTGTTCTCTCCCCAAAGGTCTAAATATAACTATTGAATAAGTTGGCAAATAAAGTGAAAATGGTGGGCTTGATTGCTTCTGTGCCTGAATTTCCCATGTGTTTAAACAACAGGACACGTTTTACTGATTTGGATTGTTTTGTATGTATTTATTTTTTAAATAGGAGACAGGTAAAAAGTTCAAAGGAGACGTGATGGACTTGCGCTTGGACATTGAGCGCAGAAAGAGATTGTCTGGAAAAGGGCGCAGTCCTGGAGGCAGCCGGGAGAGGTCCTCGGAGAAGGCCGGGAAACACCACAAGAAATCCAAGTACGTGAAGAGACGGCGCCATCTACAGACAGAAACACAAGCCAGTAGACCAATGTGTTGCAGATTTGGTGCAAAATGATTTACCTTATTCTGGAAGTTGCATTATCAAAATAATCCAGGTTGTATTATTTTGCATGGGGCTGCTGATCTTTAAAGCCAATAGTATACACAGACTACAAAGTGATTTTAAAGCCTCCCAGAGATCGGTGCAGACACTGGTGCAGTGTGACTTGGTGGTGTACACGAACACTCTTCATGAACACTTTACATTTACTTTATTTCATATCTGAGCAGCAAAACTGTTATCAAATCCTCCACTGGAATGAATGGGCTCCTCATTTAACCGGAAGTGCCACCACAAGACGAGAGATTTAGGAGCATTTAGAGACAACACGGCCAAGGCCCAGTGATGTCATTAACAATAACTACATGTAGTGAAACGTATAGTAGACCAGACTCCAATGACTAATAATAACCCAGAGGTGCTCTGGTTCCCTAAAAGCTAAATCATTTATTAAAGGAATGTATGTAAGATTAAAACTTGATCTAACTGGGTTCACAGATGTGAGATAAACAGCTACCTTTTAACACACAGTTATAATGCTGATTTATTCTTATTGACAAAAACATTGGACATGATGGACCATTTATTTGTCATAATTTAGTGTTTTGGTTCAGGATGATTCTCCAGTCAAACCAGAATGAGCCTCACATGCGTCTCTCATTTGGGTTGTCAGTTTCACTGCTGAAATCCATTGTTCACTCTAAATGTGTTTTCTTGTTCACAGAAAAGCAAAGAAGAAGCGTGACCGCTCGCCCTCCTCCTCTTCATCCTCCTCCTCTCCCTCCCCTTACCCTCCTCCGTACAGGGGCAAAGAGTACAGCGAGGGCCCTATGGAGCACCCAGAGGAGGGCTACCCCCACCAGAGGTACCCCCCTCACGGCTACGGCCCCGGGGACAACCGCGGGCCCCGAGAGTACGAGGGCCACGGCATGGACCGAGGACGAGGGAGAGGATTTGTGAGTTTAAACACTTCACTTACTTTGCTTTTACACAGGTGAAACATAGAATGTACTTTTTCTTCTGTTTTGTAGTTTTTATCAGGGGATCTAATCACACACTGTTACTTCCAGACTAATAAATGTATATCAGACATTTTCCTTCAGAATTTAAACAGTCTGAACATTTAGAATTTAGACAGCACTAGAGCTTCTAATATAAATTTAATTAATTAAATAAAATTCAGATTTATTTCTGACACAAAAAACATCATTTTTGCTATATTTAAGTATTCTCATTTAAATTTGTAGTTTCCCCGAGTTCGAGGCCGAGGCTGGAACAGGGGCAACTACCAGGGCAACAGTAGTAATGGAAACCCAGCCAACATGAACCCACAACAGCGCCCCCCAGAGGAAGAGTGGGACCCAGAGTATACACCCAAGAGCCGCAAGTACTACCTGGTCAGTTTTTGACAGTACAGTCATTTGAACGTTACCAAAACAAAACTGCTCTAACTGCTCTTGTTTATGGGCACTTTTAGTACTTTTCACCATTGAAAAATAAATTCAGGGTTCCCACGGTCAAGGAAATCCTGGAAAAGTCATGGAAATTGAAAATGTCATTGGAATTTTGTAAATTCAATGAAAATTTTGGAAAAGTCATGGGTTTTAGTATCTCTTTCACACAACTACAGCATTCTGTTAAGTTCTCATCAGACTATTATGTTTATTTCTGAACATCTACGTCTTTTGTTTAAAAGAGAGGAAAATAAATGCACTGACAGGATTTTGAATGTTCAAAAACTATAATCTCAAACCATAAGGTGAGTGGAAAGAGTTCACATTTCATATTTATTTTATAAGTATGCTCAGTTCTACACATGTAGGAGCTGTAAAGTCATGGAAAATTCACTTTAGGTCATGAAAAAGTCATGGAAAAGTTTTTACATGTTGTCAGTGAAAGAGCGGGAACCTTGTAGATATATTTGGATGATTCATTACTGTGGCAGCTGTGCTTTTTGTGGCTCATTTTTTAGAATGATGAACAGAACACTAACGTAAAGCTCTGCTTGTATTTTCAGCACGATGACCGCGACGGAGAGAAGACGTGGGTGGACAACCGCGGACGAGGAAGAGGAGCGTTCCCAAACCGCAGAGGAAGATTCGTTTACCGTAAAGGAGGAGCCGGAGGAACCAGCCCCAAGTGGACCCACGACATGTACCAGGGCGGAGAGGAGGGAGAGATACACGACGAAGGCTGTGATGACAAGGGCCCGGGAGACAGCAAACCATAGACCCGACCTGGGACGAGACCGGACCTGGACTAAACTAGACCTGGACTAAACTAGACCCACGACATGTACCAGGGTAGAAGAGGGACAGATTCACGATGAAGGCTGCAACAGGAAAGGCCAGGAGGACGACAAACCATAGATCTGACTGAGAACTAGACTGGAGACGAGACAAAACCTAGGACTAGACCAGGTTTAAGAGTCTAGACCAGACCAGGGACTAAACCAGGTTTGAACAACTCCAGTGGTTTAATATGGAGTTATTCTAGTAGCGCTGGACACCAATTCAACTTAACACATGAATTTATATGTCAAAACTTCTGTCAAATCAGAAAAATGTTGAGAATCCCCCTAAAACCTGTATCATAAGAGATTATTCACTGCACCTGGTTTGAGACACTGTACAAAACTGCCTTGTAGACATTTTGAAGCTGTGCACATTTTAAGTCCAGTTATGATGAGGAGTAATAGAATTGAAACGCAAAATGACAAATCACTCACCACAGCAGAGCCACGTGACACTCTCCAACAAGAAATGTACAGAAAGGCAAAGAACATATTAGAATCCCCATCGAATGTTGCTTGTTGGAGTCATCTCTATTTTTTTTTCCTTTTTTTTTGTGATCTTGGGCCTTGATCAGAGAAAAAAAAAGTAAAATTTTTGGTGGATTTGTTTTGCAGATTTGCAGATAGAATCAGTTTATTTATGATGCCAGAATACCGTATTTTCCACACTATAGGGCGCTCTGGATTATAAAGCGCACTGTCAATGAATGGTCTATTTTCAAATTTTTTTCACATATAAACAGCACCAGACTATAAGGCGCATTAAACAAAACACAACAGTTAGATAAGTCAGTCAAACTTTATTTAACATGTTCACAATAACTCTCATCTTTGTTCAGTTGTAACATGTAAAAAAAATACTGTCTGAGATGCTTGTTAGAGTATTCACAAGTTGATACTGATCCTTAGCCCAGGCGCCTACCATCCATCAGCAGATCGGTGGCGCAAGTGGCTCGGCGCTGTCTCTCTGTCTTGGTGAATGTGTGTTCTCCTTTTCTCATCCACTGCTCCCACGCAGCTCACACTTTCACTTTATAACAGCCTTGAGTTTAAAGTGGGCGTTGTAAGTGTGTCTCTTGACAGGTGCATTTTGATATTAAAAGGAATCACAGTATGTATTACTCCTGATGCTCCTGACTACGGGAGCCGTAATACTTCAATTGGAGTGGCTTTTGTACTTTACTAAAGTTGTACTAAGACATCCCAATAAATTAATATATAAGGTGCTCTGGATTATAAGGTGCACAGTTGTTTGATTAAATTAAAGGCTTTTAAGTGCGCCCTATAGTGTGGAAAATACGGTCAATTTGACATTAAAAACATAATACAAAAAATATTGCTCACATATGCAATTCCACTTAAAATGTGGACAATTTATTATAATTAACTCTGTAATCACCTTAAAAAATATCAATTATTCAAGCCAATATAATTAATAGCTAGGACTAGACCAGGACTAAACAGAAGAACTAAGTAAACTCTTTCAAAATTATAATTCGATTAGAGTTGTTATAATTCAAAAATACACTGAGAAAACATTGCATTGTTACTATAAACGGGGGTGCCTCTCCACAGATCTGACTTGAAAGTTGGCCTGGTGGTGACAATCTCCACTCCAAGGCAAAAAAAGTAAAATGTCTTGTCAAAATCAAGAACAAATTTGAAGGTTAGACGTAGATATTTTTCAAATTTACTGCCAAATATTAGATTTTCATGTGAAGGTGTAAGTGTTTTTTGTCACACTTTCCCTTGGAAAAACATCTCCATATTATCTGTCCATCTCAAATCTTCTTAACAAACTCACTCAAAAAAACTTGAATAATTCAGCTTTAAAATGTCACTTTTGGCCCATTCCTGTGTCCAGTCAGACCGCTCGCGCTGATCTCCATGGTAAATCCTGTGCATGTTCGTAACCTTCAGTTCAAAATGTGAAGACTCAAAGCTATAACTGGTTTTTGCTTACACTTTGTATCTCATAGGTCTGTCTTCTGCGATTTACTTTTGACTTTTATGAAAAATAGTAACACAAATGAAGATAAAATATTGTACAAATGAAAAGAAACGGCTCCTTTGTTGAAACCACTGTTGGACGCGTCGTGTGAGCGCGGGACGAGCCAGAGGTGTGGGTGTTTTAAACAAATGTTGGTGATTGTTGACAGTGCTGCTCTGTAAATGTAAACGGCATGTTACTGTAGAATCCTTTAGTTTGACACTTTTTTACGTCGACCGCTTTCAAAGTACTCGTCTTTTAATTTTCAATAAACTTTCTTTGATTTGACTTGAGCCTGTCTGTGTCGTCTTTTCTCAGTTTGGAATCTAAAGTATACAATTACAACATAGAGTTTCACAGCAAGTTCTTAGAAGATGATTCTTTGCAGCTGACGGCATCACACTCCCAGAGAAAATTGATGCTAACTCTAGGCACTTCTCTGTCTGAAGCTCTGTCCAACTCAAATTGGACTTAAATCTGAGCTTTGTTTAAACACAATTTGACCAAAAAGAACTGAGTTAGTTGGTGAGCTGATTTGTGCTGTTAAACAAGTTTCTCTCAAATAACATTACAGTCACCTGCTCCAGCATTAGTCAACAGTTTTCAGTTAGTCACTCACCTTTTTGTTGAAATTCATACTCCTAAACAGGACCATGAACGCTCAGGTTGATCACAGGCTCCTGAAAATGTGCTGTTCAAATCTATTTTCCATTTCTTGAGTTTTCAGATTATTGTAAAACTATTGCTGTGTTAGTTTAGATGTGCGTTCTGTCATGGAAACTGCTGAACATTCTGCCATACACATACAAATAGAACCTCCCCAGCATGATTTTTCTGCAAAGTGATGGCACCAAAACTGTGGAATTTGTATTTGTATTTTGTATTTATTTGTTTATTTCATAGTAGTATAAAAAGACAGAGTGTGTCACAACATCAGACACACAAGAAATGAATGAAAAGGAGCAGAAAGAAGAAAAAAATCTTATGTTATCTGCCCCCCCTTTCCTTTCTCGAGACAATACATTAACACCGATCGTTACTAAACATTCCATATCAGTTCAGGCACAATTACTGATCAACTGCAAACAGAAATCTTCACTATTATACACAACAACTTAGTTTCTTCACACTGCATTCGGTTTTATATGTTTTTTAAATGTCATCATTGTACTTGATTCTTTTATTTCTTTGTCAAGACTCTTCCATAATTTAACTCCTTTCACAGTGACGCTTCGCTCCATAATCTTGGTTCTGAATCTGGGTTTTTTAAACATGTAAGTTCCTTTTAAATTGTAGTGGTTTGTTCTCATCTCAAACAGACTTTGAATATTTACAGGTACATTGCACTTTGCTTTATACATGACTTTGTGGAGACTTAAGTCGACAATATCCTGCATTTTCAACACTTTAAGTTGAACAAATACTGGGTTGTTTGTCTCTCTACAATGACTGTTGGTGATAATTCTCAAGGCCCTTTTTTGTAAAATAAATAAAGGTTGTAGGTGAGTTTTACATGTTGACCCCCAAATTTCTACACAGTCCATCAAATATGGTGCAATTATAGAGTTATACAAAGTGAATAATGCTGTACTATTTAATGACAACTTTACTTTATGCAGAACAGCAATGGCTTTGGAAATTTTGTGTAATTTATATGAGACAAACTCCAGTTTAGACCTTCATCAATCATAACTCCTAAAAATGTGGTTTCATTTACTCTTTGAATCTGTATCCCATCTATTTCTAATGTTATGTTGTCTTTTTTCTTTTTATCATTAAATAAATGAGCTGCCTTTGCACATTAGACAGGCGTCTTTGGGGTCAGCCCTACGTTCCCTTGTTTCTAAAAATGTTTTTCACTGTAAATTTTGAAAATTAGGCCCAGCTCTATGTTTCCTCAGTCTTATGTTCAATTATTTCTAAGATTTTTCTCAAAATGAAACTCACTTCAAGTAATTTTTATTTTTATACTGCATTTAAAATCAGAGTCATTTCAACTTGGGGTCCTTTACACCATGACCTCTACATTACATCTGTAGTCAACTGCTGCTGGAGAATACGTTGGCTGTAATTGACATAAAAAATCTGATGCAAATTGATGATGAAGGAAATGTGGGAACATGGTGCCAAATTTTGAAAAAAAAAATAAACTAAACTAAACTAAAGGAACATGGGACTGTGGGAACATAAGCACGCTGACGCCTCTTCAGTGCCTGTTTTTAAATCTCTTCTCTTATTCACTTTGACCTTTGACACAGCTGTTGACATTTTATCAGATTGTTTCTATTAATTTCTGGTTTTATTCATGTTTTATTGTTTTTAATTTGTATAGTTATTAATAAAGTTGCTGTTACAGTTGCAAAGTGTCAATTAACACACAGCAGTTAGCCATAGGAATTCTCTCTGCCCGTGGTTAAAATGGAATAAACAAAAAGTGTGAAATAACTGAAAACATGTTTAAGATTTTCGATTCTTTAAAACAACCTTTACGCTTTGCTTTGATCACTGCTTTGCACTTATGGCATTTCTCGACCCTGACGTGGCACAGCTGTGAAGTGAAAACTTTCTGGAGACTTCATCATGAAAACCATTGAGAGAAGGACAAGGGTTTGCATCACTGTCCACAAAGTAAAGAGTGGACACTGTGAGGATCTGAATCTGAAATACAGGGTGTCCCAAAAACATTTGACAATTCACAGACCAACAATTTTGGCAGTTCTTATTGAAATAACCTCAAATTTTCACCGAATGTATAGAAACAAATCAAGATTTTATAGTTAATGTTTTATTTTTGTTGTGTTTTCAGGTTGAGCCGTTCACTCCCAAAGAGAAGTCATTTTGTGTCTTGAATCTGCTGCACACACTCACCCAAGACTCTGCAGCTTCAGTGTAAAATTTGGAAAAACTTCACCATCTGGCAAACAAATTTGGACTTGGGACCAAAAATGTAAAGAGGAAGGCTGATTATGGAGGGTTAAAGGATTACATATGTGTGTGAGCAGATTCCAAAATGCAACACTTTGGACGGCTCAACCTAAAAACAGAACAAAAATTAAACATTAAATATAAAATCTTGATTTGTTTCTATACAATATGTGAAAATTTGAGGTTAGTGTTGCAATTTTACACTGAAACTGCAGAGTCTTGGGTGAGTGTGTGCAGCAGATTCAAGACACAAAATGACTTCTCTTTGGGAGTGAACGGCTCAACCTGAAAACACAACAAAAATAAAACATTAACTATAAAATCTTGATCTGTTTCTATACATTCTGTGAAAATTTGAGGTTATTTAAACAAAAACTGACGAAATTATTAGCCTGCAAAATGATGTGAAATATTTTGGGACTATTTATTGTAGTTATTTAACTGTTTTCCGATAGTTCCATTATTATATTCATATGGGTCATGTAAATTTCAGATCTAGTGAGGGCAGAGTGACCAGAGGAGCAGTGAGGGAAGAGGCATTATTCCTCATAGAAAAACTGGATTTGGTCAGTGTGTTTTCTCCGTCAGATCGTCCCATCAGTGGAACTCTGTGCCTGAAGCCGTCAGAACATCTCCCTCATTCTCTGCTTTGAAAAAGAATGCTAAAAAGTGGCTTTTAGAAACGCAAATGTGTGAACACTAAAACTTTTATTGTATTTTTGTAATCTTATTGTACATTTATGTGTAATTTTTGATGTGTAACTTTCAAGTGTATTTTCTTTTACAATGCCTTTTTGACATCTGGCAAAGGGACTACCGATGCAAATGAGCTCTTATCAGCAAACTCGGGCACATTGACGTTGTTTTGATGTTGATTAATGTGCATTGTCCCTTTTCAAATAAATAAATAAATAATTTGATCTCTTCAGTTGGTGTGAAAATGTAAAGTGTAAAGCAGTAAACATAAAAATAAAACTAAAAATGAATCGTAAGTTGTCCAAACTTTTTTCACTGGTAGAGTACAATGTAAAATCCCAAATCTAGAGTGTCCAAAATTTGATTAAACAACATGAGTTTTGTGTTTAAAAGCGTTTCTCTCAGTGGCACAGTCCTGCTCTGCCTCTCACCTCGTGTCTCGATGATGTTGCAAAAGTCTGACTCCTGAATTACCCATTTGAGAACAATACTTTATTTACCAGCGCAGACTCTCATTTTAAAAGTATGCGTCTAAAACAGGGCTTCTCAATCTGTGGTGTGGCACTCGCTCCATTAAAATGCCATGTCAGACTTTATTGTTATGGCTGTGGTGAGAAAAAAAACAACACTGCAACAACATAATAATAGACGCTGTCGGTCTGCAATCTGCCCTTTACTTTTCAAACGTACATTCATTCTGTTTCGACATCCAAACATTCATTTAAACACTGACGGAGTTGTCCAAAAATATTTTTATTGGTAATTTTATAAAAAGTCAAAACACTAAATGGTTGGAGCTGGTTTCGTTTTCATTTGGATCATTAAACAAAAAAAAAACAACTGTTAAAACTGCGCATCTGACTTTAACGTAGAGTCAGTCCTTTGCTTTTCCCCTTTGGAATGTTCCGCAGTATGGCATTAAACGTGATTATCTTCATGCAGACAAGCCAGGGCCAAGTTACACGTCAGGTCCGTGGAAGGGTGACCATCTTTTTCAATGCGTGTTTGTCAGAATCACACGTAATTCAAGATTAAAGACGAACTCCAAAACTCTAAAACAACATGAAACCGCTGGGAATACAGGTACCAGTTGTCGTGTGCTTGGGCAAGACACTTCACCCACGTTGTCTAGAGTGCGGTGTGTGAGAGTTGTTGGTGCAATGGTGAAAGTTGGCAGCCTCATTCTCGAGACACAACAGGGGAAAAAAAGAAAAGAAACCAACCAAAAAACAAAGTAAATTGTGTTTCCGTGAAGACTTAACCATCTGTGACATAAACGAGCTTCTCTGGAGATGGAGCCGTCCCGCAGAGAGCTCGGGGTAGAGTCACTGCTCCTCCACACTGGAGAAGAGGCGCTAGAGAAGTGTTCGGGGAGGGGGAAGTCTGATCATCTGGGGTCTCATCATGTGTCCACTTTAAGTCCTGATGTAGACTTGGTTTGGCTCCAGTTTCTAGATCAGTGGGAGTGGACTCTTCCAGTTTAGTCCTGGTTTAGTCCTGGTTTAGTCCTTGTTAAATCCTGGTTTTGTCCTGGTTTAATCCTGGTTTACTCCTGGTTTAGTCCCAGCCCTGTAATCCAATGATATTGGACTCTTCCTTTGATCTCAGTCCTGGTTTAGACCTGGTTTAGTCCTGATTTAGTCTAGGTTTAGTCCCAACACGGTAGCTCTGTGGTCAATGATACTGAGCTCTTCCTATAGTCCCAGTCCCAGTGTAGTCCTTGTTTTGTCCTGGTTTAGTCCTGGTTCCGGTTTAGTCCTGGTTTAGTCCCAGCCCTGCAGGTCTGTGGTCAATGATAATGGACTCTTCCTATAGTCCTAGTCCCAGTTTAGTCCTGGTTTAGTACTGGTTTAGTCCTGGTCCTGCAACTCTGCGGTCAGTGGTCTTCTTGTGGTCTCAGTCCTGTTTTAGTCCTGTTTTAGTCCTGGTTTAGTCCTCAGCTCTGCGGTCAGTGGTAGTGGACTCTTCTTATGGTCTCAGTCCTGTTTAGTCCTGGTTTAGTCCTGGTTTAGTCCCAGTTTAGTCCTGGTTTAGTCCTCAGCTCTGCGGTCAGTGGTAGTGGACCCTCCCTATGGTCCCGGTCCCGGTGACGAGCACGTCGGGTTGACCGTTCCTCCAGATCTCCCTGAGGATCCTCTCTCTCTCCTCCAGCCTGCGAGCCTTCTCCAGCTCCTCCTCCGACGAGAACACATCCAGACCGGAGCCCTCCAGAGGCCGAGGAGCGCCGTCCCGGGACGCCCGCTCCACACGCTCCGACCCGGGCTCCCTGTGCGCCTGCAGGTCCGGGGGCGAGGAAGACGAGGAAGACGAGGAAGAGGGTTTGGGAGGTTTGTTGTTGTTGTTGTTGTTGTTGTTGCGATGGAGGAGACGCCTGCGACACGTGATCCCAGCCACCAGGAGGCAGAGCGCCGAAAACAGACCCAAACACACGCCCATCATGAAGAAGAGAGCCAGACTCTCCGGGTTCGCTACAGACAGAGAGACAGAGAGAGAGAGGGGGGGGGAGAGAGGAGAGAGAGAGAGAGAGAGAGAGAGAGAGAGAGAGAGAGAGAGAGAGAGAGAGAGGAGAGAGAGAGAGAGAGAGAGAGAGAGAGAGAGAGAGAGAGAGAGAGAGAGAGGAGAGAGAGAGAGAGAGAGAGAGAGAGAGAGGAGAGAGAGAGAGAGAGAGAGAGAGAGAGAGAGAGAGAGAGAGAGAGAGAGAGAGAGAGAGAGAGTGAGAGAAGAGTGAGAGAGAGGAGAGGAGTGAGAGAGAGAGAGAGAGGGAGGAGAGGAGAAAGAAAGAGGAGAGGAGGGAGAGAGAGAGAATGAGAGAGAGGGGAGAGAGAGAGGGAGGGAGAGAGAGAGAGGGAGAGAGAGAGAGGGAGGAGAGGAGAAAGAAAGAGGAGAGGAGGGAGAGAGAGTAAGGGAGAGACAGATTAGAGGGAGGGAGAGAGGAGAGAGAGAGAGAAAGGGAAAAGAGAGAAAGAGAGAAGGAGAGAGAGAGAGAGAGAGAGAGAGAAAGAGGGAGAGAGAGAGGGAGAGAGAGAGGGGGGGGGGGTTGTTAAAAATATATATTAAAAAAAACAGATACTTATTGATTGTAGAAGTACACTAGTAAAGGATCTCGAGACTCATTTTTCACAGGTATTGATACTAAAGTGTCATTGACAGGACAGAGCAGAGTCTTTCCTGAATGTCTTTAGAGTGATGTTGAGCTGTATCAGGACAAGCAGAAGAGCACAGAGACGAGTACACACACATGGACACACATATAAGACACATTACCATTTCATTTGGAAAAACGTCAAAAGAAAGTGTTTTTAATTATCATTGTGTTGTCATAATCGGCATTGAGTATCGAGTCTATTCCTTACTGAAAGTGAGTTTAAAATTTCAGTATCATGATTCATCACAACTCAGTGTTTGAATATATGTGTGAGATGGAGCAGATTTACAGCCACACTTCCATCAATCAGCCCCAGGGCAGCTACAGCTACTCATATTTCATATTATTACATTTTTAAAGGTCCTAGATTAAGCAAAATTGACTCTTGTGAGGTTCGAGTCATGTTACAGTGTTACCTCATTATTAAAAACAGACCTGGAGTTGTGTTTTGTTTCATTTCCACACGTCTGAGTAATCCATGATCTATCAGTCTATCTGCATCTCCAAAACTCTGTTCCACCTTGTGATGTCATGAAGTCAGTGTTGGGGAATAACAGATTACATGTACCGGAGTTACGTAATCAGAGTACAAATTATGAGTATTCAGTTACAGTTACTGTTTCAGTGAGTGGTAATTAGATTACAGTTACTTTGTTGAAATAAATGGATTACATGGCGGTATTTTCCTGTTTTGCATTTGGGGCTAAATCCCCCTTTTTTTTTTTTTTTTTTCCAGAAATTCCACTCATTGCTGGACAATAAACCAGGTCTAAACCAGGACTAAACCAGGACTAAAACCAGGTCTAAAACCGGGACTAAAACAGGACTAAACCAGGACTAAAACAGGACTAAACCAGGACTAAAAGCAGGACTAAAAGCAGGACTAAACCAGGATTTAACAGGACTAAACTATGCTGTGCGGACTGTGTCTTCTCCTCTTCTATCAATAATATTTTTAATTTGGTTCAGTAAAGTCTGGGCTTTTTATTTTCTTTTAGCAGACAAAACATCTTATGTTACGATTTCCTTGTCTTTGCTTCTCTACAGCAAATCAAGTAATCCAAAGTATTCAGATTATGTTACTCACCTAAAGTAATTTAATGGATTACATTACAAACTACATTTTGGTGTGTGTAATCTGTAATCTGTAATCTGTAATCTGTAGGGGATTACATTTTAAAAGTCACCTTCCCAACACTGCATGAAGTACAGATTAAAAATTCCAAGGCTGAAATCCAAATGATTCTAGTGAAGGTGTATGGAGTTTAAAAACACAACGGAGCACTTCTTGTCTTACATCACAAGGTGTTTTCAGTTTGACGGAAGAACTCATCCTAAAGGTGCAGGGTTTGTGTGTTAAACATGTGAATGAAACAAAACACAACTCCAGTATGTGTGTGATGAAGAAACAACAATACAACATACTTCAGAAAATAATCAGAGTATTATGGGCCCGTTAATAATGTGAAAATATGTTTTGTCTTGTACGTCTTGTATTGGAAAACATGCAGTAAAGAACATGGATATATACACTGACTGGTCTACAGCCTAATGCTTTTAATGTTTGAAATATCATAAGAAAAAAGTGGTGTTGTGTTGTGTACCTCTGATGTGAGCGAATGTGGCCATGCTGTTACTGAACAGCTCCATGTCTCTGTGGATCGGCTCCATCCTCACACTCAAGAGGAACGACAGGGAAGAGAGGATGAAAAAGGAGGGTAAAAGAGGAGGGGAGAGTTCAGCAGGACATGTCTCTACAGAGTGTACATCTGTGGTCTGCTCCTGGAAATACAAAACATCACAAAGAGGAAAAGAGTCAGTGCACTTTAAATAAAGAAAAAACAAACATGGACAAAGAGTTTATTTACAGAGTTTATACAGAAGGACTCAGGCTTCAGGGTTACATGTTAAAGTTCTTTAGTAAACAATTAACATCCTAAATCAGGGGTTCCCAGTCACTGGGTCGTGCACCGGTGCCGGCTCGTCGGTCGTTTGGTACCAGGCCGAGAAAGCGCAAATAACTCAAATGCCCACACGCCGTGCAGACCGTGCCTCCTCCCGAGTTTCCCGCACCTCTAAACCAGAACAAAACCAGGACTAAACTCAGGACTAAACCAGAACTAAACCAGGACTAAAACCAGGACTAAAACCAGGACTAAAACAGGACTAATCCAGAACTAAAACCAGGACTAAAACCAGAACTAAACCAGGACTAAAAGGAGGATTAGGGATTACTGTCAGGGAACAGTAACCACACACTGACTTGGATCATGACGAGGGGGATGTGGACGTGCTGGACGCCGGAATCTCCCAACTGTTTGAACTATTATGACTTATTGTGAATACACGAACAATTTAGCATCTCAGACAGTATTTTTTTACATGTTACAAATGAACAAAGTTGAGAGTTATTGTGAATGCATTAAATAAAGTTTGACTGACTTATCTAACTGTTGTGTTTCCTTTAATGCGTCTTGTAGTTCGGTGCAGTTTATATGGGAAAAAAGTTCGAAAATAAACCATTCAATGACAGTGCACTTTATAATCCAGAGTGCCCTATAGTGCAGGAATTACGGTACACAAAATAGACTCTTGTGAGGATTAAGTCATGTTAGAATATTGTTACCTCTTCAAAAACAGACCTGGAGTTGTGTTTTGTTTCATTCACACTGCAAAAAAGCTTAAGATATAGACTTAAAAGTAGTGAAATGATCTTGCTGCATGGACAGACCATTTTACTTGACAAGTTCTCATCTAGACTACAATGAACTAGTAAATTGATCATAAACTGTTGGGGAGTAACAGATTACATGTACCAGAGTTATGTAATCAGAGTACAAATTATGAGTAACTGTATTCAGTTACAGTTACTGTTTAAGTGAGTGGTAATTGGATTACAGTTACTTTGTTGAAATAAATGGATTACACTGCAGTATTTTCCTGTTTTCACATTTTGGGCTATATCCCCTAAACTAGATCTAAACCAGGTCTAAACCAGGATTAAAACCAGGTCTAAAACCAGGTCTAAACTAGATCTAAACCAGGACTAAACCAGGTCTAAAACAGGATTTAACAGGACTAAATCATGCTGCGTGGACCATGTCTCCTCCTCTTCTATCAATAATATTTTTAATTTGGTTCAGTAAAGACTGGACTTTTTATTTTCTTTTATCAGACAAAACATCTTATGCTACGACATCCTGGTCTTTGCTTCTCTACAGCAAATCAAGTAATCCAAAGTATTCAGATTACGTTATTCACTTTAAGTAATTTAATGGATTATGTTAAAAACTACTTTTTTTGGTATGTAATCTGTAATCTGTAGGGGCATATATTTTAAAAGTAACCTTCCCAACACTGATCATAAATCAGAAAACAAGATGAACCTGATATAAGTTTTAAAATCGTGGCCAGATCAGAGAAATTTGCAGTGCACACACTTGAGTATCCTTTTCTTATTAATCTGTGTACTTCTCCAAAGCTCCAAATGCTCTGTTCCACCTTGTGATGTCATGAAAAGTGGTAGTTTTCAAGTGAACAGCTCCTTTTACCTTTGGTTCAGTAGAGATTGGCAATTCCAAAGCTGAAATGATCCAAATGATTCTAGTGAAGGTGTGTGGAGTTTAAAAACACAATGGAGCACTTTCTGTGTCACTACATGACATCACGAGGTGGAAGAGAGTGTTTTCAGTTTGAGAGAAGAACTAAATCTGCAGGGTTTGTGGTCTTCCTCTGCTCACGTGGTTTAAAACATTAGGACATCATTTAGAGACTGTGGTGTTCTTCTGATGTAACAGGGTCAGAGGTCGCGGGAGGAAAACACGGAGGACTTCCTGTAGTTTTTACTGCTGATTTCCTGTAGTTTTTATATTTACAGTGTCAGTGCAGACGGAGGAGCCTGAGGCGTTTGCGGCCAGTGGGAAAGTTTTGGTTTTATGACGTCAAGGAGTCTGAAAGGAAACGAGCAGAGACACAATTACACAACACCAGACGCTCTGGGACTCAACACAGACCACGACGAGGAGGAAGAGCAGTAGTACTAAAAGATGTAGTAGTAGTAGTAGTAGTAGTAGTAGTAAATTGTTGTAGTAGAAGTATCAGTAGTAATAGTAGCAGTACTAATAGTTCTGGTAGTAGTAGTACTAATAGTGGTGGTAGTAGTAGTACTACTACTACTACTAGTAGTAGTAGTAGTAGTAGTAGTAGTAGCAGTAGTTCTAATAATACAATATAAAAGTTTTTAGTACTAATACTACTATACTAGTGGTATTAGTAGTAGTTGTAGTAGCAGTGACAGTAGTAGTAGCAGTAGAAGTAGTATTACTAATAGCTGTATTTGTAGTGTGGCAGTAGTAGTTGTTGTAGTACCAGTGGCAGTAGTAGTAGAAGTAGTACTAATAATAGTGGGAGTAGTTGCAGTAATCATAGTTTTTAGTACTAGTGGTGGTAATAGTAGTGTAGTAGTAATTGTTGTTGCAGTTGTTGTTGTAGAAATAGTTATAGTAGTAGTTGTAATTGTCGTAGTAGTATAATAGTAGCAGTTGCAGTAGTTCTTTGTAGTGGAGTAATATTATTTTGAGGTAAGAGTACTTTTACTCGAGTACAGTTTATAATTGATTTAATATATAAAAATCACATTGAAAAGTCAGTGTGAGAAAAGTCTTTCTGCTCTCACCTCTGGTCATGATACAAGTCTTTATGTCATGATGTTTGCTCAAACATGATTCAGTGAAATGTTTCATAAACTCTACTTTCATGTGTGTGTAAATGTGATGCTCTGTGTCGTGTCGTGTCATGTAGTGATGTGTAGTGTAGTGTACACACACACACATGTGATTCTGACTTCAAGTCACTGTGTAAATGTTCCGTCATGTAGCTTTAATGTTGTTAACAGTTGTGCACATGAGCCATGTTCCCACACGCCTCGTGCTTTGAGATGTTTCCTGTCGATAAAAACAAGCTCAAAGTCTCTGAACCCTGAAACCAGATCCTAATCCTGGTCTTAGTCCTGGTCTTAGTCCTGGATCTGGTCCAAGTCCGGCCCCTGTGGTCCCAGGGCCCAAGGGATACAGTACCACAGAGTACACACAAACATGTGCCTTCTCACACTCACTACTACTATGAATACTACTATAACTACTATAACTACTACTACTATGACTGCTGTTGGCATTCACTCATCTCACTTGTGTCATGTCATATGGTCAATAGTCACGTTTATACAGCGCTTTTAACACCGCCAACCTGTGGATCTGACGCTCAATCAGTGATCTGTGTGTTGAGAGTGGGATTCAAACTGCCAACCTTTGGATCAGTGAACGAGCGCTCCACCAGCTGATCTACTGATACACTTCACTATGTGTACACACATGTTCATGTTGGAGCAGACAGCTGTGAGGACACTGGGTCTGGTTCTGTTCATGTTCATGTTGGAGCAGACAGCTGTGAGGACACTGGGTCTGGTTCTGTTCATGTTCTTGTTGGAGCAGACAGCTGTGAGGACACTGGGTCTGGGGGTCGTCCTCCAGAACATTTGGAACAAAACAAAAGTCATTTCCTGTCATCAGGGAGATTTAAGATTAAAACCTCTTCAGCTGCAGCTCCTCTGAACAGGTCAAGAGTCTCTGTCCTGACAGCTGCTGCTGTAGTCAACCAGAAGTATGTATTGTACTACTACTACTGTCCAGGTTGTAACAGACTACTACTACTACTACTACTACTACTACTACTGTAGTAGTAGTAGTAGTAGTGCACTCAGAGGCTTATCTATGTGTGTGTGTGTGTGTGTGTGTGTGTGTGTGTGTGACCAGACAAAATTTAGACCAAGTTCAGATCTGGTTTCTGGTCTGGTCTGGTCTCAGTTCTGGTCTCAGTTCTGGTCTGGGTCTGGTCTCGGGTCTGGTCTCTTCAGTTCTGGTCTCGGGTAGTTCTGGTCTCGGGTCTGGTCTCGGGTCTGGTCTCGGGTCTGGTCTCAGGTCTGGTCCCAGTATCAGTCCTGATCTTATCTGAGAGTTCTGGGAAAGTCCAGTCCCTCCAGTGGGAGCCATTACATAATGTGAACCACACTGCACCGCTCTGAGGTCTCAGACGTTTGTGACTAAACAAGGAAAATACCAGGGCTAATTGAACGTAACCTTTAATGTCACACTGTGGAACATTCTAGACAAGGAAATAATACTCCACACCTCCACACCACTGGTGAACAGTCACATTTTTATACAGCGCTCTTGAAGCCACTCCAAGAACTTTACATCATAAACCACTCACTCATTCACACACCAGTGCACACAGACACTGGGGGTGAGGGGGGTTAAGTGTCTTGCCTAAGGACACAACAACAGCATTCATCTGTGGGAGCTGAAATCACACCGCCAACCTGTGGGTGGGTGGATCTGACCATGATCTGACCGCTCAACCAGTGATGTTTATGTCGAGAGTGAGAATCGCACCAACAACCTTCAGCTGGATTTACATTTTCTTCAGTGTCTTTTCTCTGTGCATTTCCATCCTCCTTCCAAACCCACTAATCTATTGTAGTAGTAGTAGTAGTAGTAGTAGTAGTAGTAGTAGTAGTAGTAGAGCAGTAGTAGTTAATTGCAGTAATAATAGGATGTACTCCACACAGTCTAATGAAACAGACCAGAACAGGACTATATGTTCAGATGGAAACTGTCCCCGGGCCCCTCAGGCCCCTCAGGCTCTGGGGGCCACAGACACACAGTCTGGACATTCCCATGACACACAAACACAACACTGATAATGGGCTGTATGTATGAACTGTA